CTAACCATTTTAGCCGTGGCGTATTGCCTTTCGCGTTCCGTTTTTAACAACGAAACAACACTAGCAGTAGTCCCAGATGCTCAACGCTCATTTCGCTCGTGCACTTTTTTTGTGCTACGAATCCAGCAGGCCGCGAAACGAACAACAAACAACCAGTTCCGAAGCGTCGAATCCCACATGCAAATACATGGAGGGACGCGATGCACCATTATTATCCTATTGCCTAAACAACATCATATTCATGATTCATTCGTAACGAAATATTATCTCCGGCGATTCGAATTACGCATTCGCGTCGCCCGCGGACCGTAAACTGTTTGTTATGCAATCGAATGCAGAAGTGTAAAACGAAAAAATTACCGCCCACCGAAACCTATTCGAAAAAGAAGACTTGCACGCAAAACAATTGCAATTGCGGCACAACCCATATTTATTGCCTAACCAGAAATAAATACATTCCGATATAAGGAAATAATAATTGTCGACATTTCCTTAAAGTATTATTACCAAATCGTTTCCAATAATGAATGAAAGCTTTATTTTCCCATCTCTTTTTGTTTGTTGTTGTTGACTTTTTCCCTGTGGACATAAATTGTAAACGTTCGTAACCTATTGGTATGTACGGATGCGTCCGTAAAAACCGAAGAAATCATTAATAAATTCCTCGTGTATCTATGGCACAGACGAAAATCTTAATAATCCTTTCTTCTCTTTCGCACGTAGACCACTCTAATCGACGATGCCGAACGCGTTCGCCTCTCGGAATATCCGTAATTCCTATAAAAAAACAATAATAATATGTACATGTACGTTCGGTTCGGATTCTAAATTGATGAAGTCCTTGGTTACGATTCCATTTCTACTTTTGGTCACATATTCGTGTATTTATAATAACTATATATATTTAGAATAGGTGATTCCTTTATGTTGTAGGTTGCTGAGTTTTTAGGAGATATAAGTTTCGTATTACTATATTATTATCATATTTGATGCATTTATTATGAGTATCGTCATTTGCAGTCTAACTGTTTGGTTTTAACCCTTTCCAGTCCAGTGATTCCAATTGGAATAATTAATTTTTAAATACAATTTTGTCTTTCGACGATTAAAACTGGATGGATGCAACTAATGTAAATTCAAGCTAGATGTATTTTAGCAGTATGTAATATTGAATAATGAAAAAAAAACAGGTAACATGTTTTCTTATGATTAAGTAACTGCTTTTATAAAGATTTGAATAAAACATTTTTTTTTTCAAAATAAATTTGGATTGGAAAGGGTTAATAATAACACAATAAAATTAGAAAATTTACATCAAAATATAGAAATACCTCGCATAGTGCGGATACTAAGCCATTTTCAAGATATTTCCGGTTTCGAAAAGCCACAAAAAATGATGACGAATGGGAGAATTAAAAAAGAAAATAATTTTGTATACTATTTATTAGATTTTTTTTTATTTTACTCAATTAAAATGTAGTCTGTTTTGAAATTTTCATACTTTTATATAGTTAATCCGCATACTGATGGAAGCCGCACTATGTGATGTATTGGCTAATGAAAATGTGTGCTAATAAAATTGATGGAAGAACTAAACTGTAACGCTTCTGTCATGATACCCTGTATACTTTAGCTGCGTTATTTTTCTGTGGAGATCTAGTTCTTGGAAATCGAAGATATTATGCAAAAACAAATGGAGAACTGTTTTTAATTGGCGAAAAAGTGAAATAACACAGCAGCGATTAAATCGAAACCGACTAGTTAACCCGATTCCAGTTTTCGATTTATCGTTGGTGGTAGTAATCGTGGTGGTGGAGGCTGGCTGCGTGTTCGTCTGCAATCTGGATGCAATTAGCGGCATGCTGAGCCCAAAAGTGGCACGAAGCGGAAAGAAGAAATGGGAAAAATCACGCGGTGGAAATGAAGAAATCAAAGAGCTATTGGATTTCTAATCGTTCGTCCGCTGCTCCGGGATGAAAAAGCGATGAGACACTTTGCAGCGGTGACATTCGCAATAAAACGGAAAGTAGCTAAAGTAGTAAGTTTTTTGTTAGGAAATTGGGTTGCATCCATTGATGTTTCAAAACTTACGAAAGTTAATAGACGCGGTATTTGACTTTAGCAATTAATGGAAAAACAATCTATTTGAAATCTCTACCATTTGGTTTATTGTCAGTTACGAGGAAAACTTTCTAACAAATACAATTAATATTATTATGATTAAACCAGGGTTTTTCTATAAATTTTGAATGCAGCAGACTTTCTCTTGGAACGCTACCAAAAGGGAAAAATATAACTCAAAGTTGATGGTAAATTCTGGTTTCGGAATCGATCGACCTTTTGTTATTAATTAATTATTAATGTATACGAATATGGTCATCGTCGGTCAATTACTGGTCGTGTTTTCTGTTTCTCCTATTCATAAATAATTAATCACCCGCCGCCGTTGTTGCGCGCCGTGTTTTCTGCATTTCAAAAACTTCACCACGATGTTTTTTCCTTCTTCGCTCCTCCGCGATTTTCCCAGGCCGATATCGTATCGAAGGGAAACGAAAATCGATCTACTCCTCGGCCGTCGCTGCGGTTTCCGCGAAGCCCTTCCTCAGCTTCTTCGATTACGCAATTCCCCTCGATCGAGTTGTACTTCTTCCTCGTCTTATTATTATTTATCGAGTCTTCCGCTCGGAGGCGCCGATCATCCGACAGTTCTCCCCGCGCCTCCGTTTGCCGCACCGGTCATCATCAACGGTTCGAGGGACTTGGAGGATTTGCATTTGTACCGTTTCGCATCTGAATCAATTGGAAATCGTTCGTGGCTTGAAATAGTTCAATAATCGCCGATACCGCTATTGCACAGTTTCATTCGCCGATTGAATTTCTTTGCAGACACAACAATAACGTACGAAGCAAAACAATAATAAGAGGCACCGCAACGAAATGATCTGCATCAAATCGACGAGAATACACAAAAAAACATGCATAATAATATTGCTGTTTTAAGATAGTTGAGCAATTTCCAATCGTTTATATTTTCATCGCAATTAGTTGTTTTGCAAGCAAATGGTCGAGGAAACGCAATTGTGTAACTTTAAGAGAATTACAAAAAAAGTATTTCGTTATATTTAATTACAGAACTAAATCAATAGATAAATGATAACTCTACATGCTAACAATTCTGATGAAGAAATTCGCACAGTAAGTTCTCTGTACAAGGATCAGCATCGATTAGTTAATGAAACAGCAAAGTGCATAAAATACATGAAGCGTCATTAAGATGGAATTTGGGAAAACCGACGAATTAAATTTGCAAATTAAGTATTCTTCCTTTCGAAAAACAAGTTTATTGTGCACATAAATCACAATTTAAACGAATTTTTGTTATGAACTACTTTGTCCATTTTCATTCGTCCCATGATTAAAACATGATTAATAAATATAGCAATACTTTGCATAGTCCGGTTTCGATCAGGATTGAAAATATCAAAACAAATAAAATTTTTATTACTGTATGAATTTTCTTGCACTAAAAAATAATAATATTTTGGTTGTGTTTTGTATTCATTTCTGGGTTTTGGTGACGGTTACCTTTCACCTTTCGTTCTCTTAATTAATTTGTATCGGATGGACGTCGCACGATGATCATCAATTTTAACGATCTGTTCCTCGTTTATTATTATTTATTTTATTTATTTTTCTTGGTAGTAAACATATGATTTTTAGAGGTTTCTTTGTATATAGCTACTAACATTAATGCATGTCGTGCTCCAAACGAGATCACTTTCTCTCGTGACTGCTGCCATCTATCAAATGCAATTTACATAAAAAAATATGAATGAAATACGTACATTTGTTCCATTATTCATTTTCAATATAAATATTTCAATATTTGTTGCTCTCTTTTCATCTTTTAACATTTTCGAATCCACTGTTTGTTGGTCAGTTTTTATTTTATAATAAGAACAATTATTGTAACAACCATCAAATAGTAGCAATCATTACAAACATAAATAGAAAAAATACACATGAATTATAGTAACTATTGACCATAGTCTATTCTATACTTACTGCAATAACTCGTAGAGTACGGTTTATTTCCGCCAATATCCCGAACTGTTTGAAATCTGATGACTTTAAAATCGCATAAAATAAACTGTACATTGAGTGTATAAAAAAACGATTTTACGTAAAAAAAATAATAATTTTCTGTACTAATTTTTATTTTGTCAATTCAAATTTCATTTGTTTTGATATTTTCAAACCGGACTATAGTGAATCCGGACTGATCAAAGCTGCACAATTGCTGTATTTCTATAATTTTATAAATATTTTATAAAATTGAAGAAAATGTTAGTACCACAAAATATGTCAAAATTTACAATTTATTAACTAAAACTTAAGTACTGAATCTACATTTTAAAGATCAATAATTAAGGCATATATGAAGTATAACTTATATTTTATTTTACTTTTCTTAAAAGTAAATGAAATTCATTCCACAATTGATAGTAAATGTAATTATTGAATTACTTTTTACTTGGGCATCAATTATGGAATCTCTAATGTATTTTATAAATTTGAGTGGTATTAAAACTTGTTACTTAATAAAGTAATCTCCGTTTTTATCCAATATCTTGAAATTAACTTTCGTACGCAGTTAATTAAAAATTGCTTTCTAAAATGTAAGAAAATTAAGGATATTAAAGGCATAAATTGTATTAAGGTATTATTTGTTGCGTTTCGAATATTGTAGTAATAATAACTAAAAAATGAGGAAACGCTCGTTTCGTAATTGGACCTTTGCAATTTTCTGGCCAAATGGACTAGAACAGTGTGTTGTTTTTGAATGCATGTAAAGTTGAAGAGAGGAAACAAGTAATATTACGGTTTCAGCTTAGCCCGTAATGGTATTTTCTCCTAATCCCGATGGGGTATTAAGGTGAGAGTTTGATGGCAGAGAGTGGAAGCCGCGCAGCCGCCTTCAATACGTGGTAGTAGTACACGCGTAGCCGCAATCCCCAACCAGTCAGGTCTGAATGTTCGCATTGGTTGTACGCTCCAACCTCATCGATCCAAACTTTTTGCCGTTTTCGTTCACGTTCATTCTATTGCATTAATCCAGTGTACTCTTCTCTCTAACAGTGCGTGCTTTACCAGTTCACCTTCCTTCGTGCCGCGAAGGATTCCCAGGATCAGGTAATTTTAAACAGCAATAACGTTCACGTGCAAAACTCTTCTCCACCATACGAACGACAACAACAACAAAACATACAAAAACATTCATTTTTTGTTGATTCCTCTTCACGTGGTTTTCCAAGTAGTAGAAACGGCCTCTTTGTTGGCCAGATGTTTCCTCGCCACCAATGGCACGTTATCCTACGGGCAAAACCAATCTTTTATAAGCTTATTACTGTTGTAAGATTATCGAAATTTATTTGCTTTTTCTCAAAAAAATCTCCTGGACGTTTATGGATTCAACACTACTGTACAAAAGATACCAAATTTGCTTGTGACCCTCATGAAGCTATAATGCGCCAGTGTAGATAACCCTCGAATGCTGCTTTGACACGTACAACACGATGGTTTGTTTTACAGTACACATTGGTCGTCGGCTTTATCAAAACATATACAAAGCAACGTGTGTGCCTCTCTCTGATATGTATGTTAGATCGTATGCACTTCTACTCTTAATTGTAAATACAGAGACGTACAAAGATCAACTCCAATTTCACAAAAAAGGAAAAAATAACTAAAAATATTTCATCGTCATTGTAATTAATTACAAACAAAAATGTTGGAAATTACTATTGTCACTTACGTGTTGTATACAGTGAAAGGTATTTGTAAACTGAAACCGATGTTTACTAATATCATATAGACTTTGAACGTTTCCTTTATAAGAAACAATAATAATTTTTATTGTTTTAAAGTATAGTTACTAATTATGTTTGTCCTATTGGAAATAATCATTAATATATTTATCTGCTTTTTAAGAAGCCAGAAATGGATGCATGCGTACGCTAAGATGTAATTTTAATTAAGATATGATATAACTCGATACAAGAAATTAATTCAAATTTTATCTAAATGTTAGGACATAACGCTAATAAACTTGAATGTAAATGTTACGGAATCACCGATTGAGGGGGAAAACATGGTAATAATTATGAGATCTGCAGAAGAGCGGAACTCCGCACCGTTTGCATAATTGAAATAATGCTGTGTGCAAGTTATGGAATTCGGAGAAGCACGAATGCAAAACCCGTCCCAATTTCTTGCACCAAATACGACAAGAGCGAGTTTCTAGCTAAATTGCCCTACTGAATCACTTTCTAGTATTTTCGCAGTAAGCAGAAAACGGACGAACTGCAATAACTGAGAAACAAAAACATACAATAAATGGAGATTACGATCGAGAACTGGACGACGTGCAATGCGTTCGTCGCATTATTTTCCATATACGGAATAGGATTTTAATATATGGAAACAATTAATTAATTAAACTTGCTGCCCTCGGCCAAACACATTGTGGAATTCACGTCGCTCCCATTCTTACGTTTTCTTTGGTTCATCAGATCACCTAAATAATCTCTCATAACATCAAATCACTTGATTTAATTCTTATTTATTTTTTAGGATGAAAGAAACCCTACTTCCTAAATACAATATATAGGCGTTGCTAAGTAAAAAAAATAAGTCGCATGAGTCACACGAACAGAGTTGAGCGAATTAGCATGGATACAAGAAACTAGTTCGAGGGAGTGCGGAAACGATTGCGAACGCAGGGTGGGAGGGACAGATATGAAGTTTATTAAAAAAAATAGGTCTAATGAGATTCCAAGGCGAAAGAGAGCAAATCAATTTCTAATTTGCCGAGATTGGAATCGGCGTCGGCGAGGATTATAATTAATCACGTTGCGAGCGCTGCATTTTCCGGCTGGAGCAGGTGATAAAACGAGTAGGAAGTGGATGTGTGATTTCTTCCTGTTCTTAGTCTCGCGCTGTTTTTGTTCGCGTTTGGGCCTACTGCGATTTGCATATACCTATGGAATTCCTCTTTGTTTTCGTTCTCGAGGTGCAACTAATTCCCTTTTTCGGATTTCCAGCGACGCCGATCGCCGGCCTTCGCAAATTGTATTCTGTCACATCTTTCTAATTCTATATATAGGAGATTAGTCATTGTTCTCTCATTCATTCAAGTGGTTTCCTGTTGAATTTCCTTCTGTTTTCTTAAAAAGATAATAATTTGGGAATCCGTTTCGTTTTCTTATATACCTTTGATATAATCCTAGCAACAGCTGTTCGGTTAAAAAATGTAAATAATTATATAATCTCTCGTATTAAGTTTTTGACTGATAAGATCATTCGAATTACATGCACTCCAATTTCCACTTGATACGTGTTTATTAAAAATATATATATTTATAAATATAGATTCGCAACTCTGCTGCGCCTTCCGAATCGAAAGTGATTCCGTTTAATTCGTTTCCCTCGACCTCGAGGATGCCCAGGATCTGTGTCAAGATTAGCAGTTGGAAACAAATTTATTATAATTAATACCACATCTCGCAGTACATTATCCCACGTTCCGATCTGTCGCGCGAAGATGAAAGACTTTTCTTGTACATCATCCAGCAATGGACGGATGAAAGAACAGACGTTAGGTCTTCGCAAATTGATTTTCTATTTGGGGAAAGGTGCAAATAAAAACAAATTAATTAATCGATTTCGCACCTGGGTGTAGAAAGCTGCAGTTTCTAAACATGCTTAGATCTTCTACTCCTAGAGTGCATCTCGCGTTACGTAAAACGCCGGGCGCATCTCGTTCTTGCGTAACGACGCGAACACCTGCGAAATACTTAATAAACACGTTCACCTTTCAATTTTCATCTTTCCCGGGGCTCACGTTGCCAGGCCAACGGATAAACTCTCCGTCGTTCTCTTACTCGGGGTGTTTCCATCTACGGACTTTCCCACGTACTTGCATCATGATAATAATGACGATGGCGCAAATACGTTGATTCCTAAACACCAATTAGCTTCGATTTATCTCTATTTGTTGCTATAGCAATTGTTTTTTTTTCCTTTATTGTTTGTTTAGTTTCGATGCGATGTGTTTGTACGTTTATTTTGTCATCTTTATTTCTATTGGCAACCACTTACAGTCTTTCATAATTGTTAAAACGATTTCCCAACTCAATAATTATATTTGTATTCCTTTTCTCCTTCTCATTGCACGTCTCTTCGAAAGTGTATATATATTTTTATACTTATATGTGTATACACATCTTACGTTCATATCTGGCTTTCCTTGACTCGGCAACAGCCGTCCGAGAAGCGAACAAGCAAGCACCTGTGAGGCTTATAATTATTTACATGTTGTTGTTGTTGTTTTTAATTTATTTATTTTCTTTCCTCCTTCCTCCATTCAGCTTCTTCCATATGTTTTTCTCTCTCACGCGCATTCTGTCTCTCCGACTGGTGCATTGTGCAAACTCTGATGATTCAATCTTTCCGTTTGCTTTGTTACAGATTCCCTCGCAAGTGCAGCAAAGAAGAGAAGACATGGGCGAGCGACGGGGCACCAAAGGCTTAGAGCTGTGGTGCAAGAAGATGACCCAAGGTTATCCCGGTGTGAAGATCGACAACATGACCACCTCCTGGAGGGACGGGCTTGCCTTCTGCGCCATCATCCACCACTTTAGACCCGAACTGATGTGAGTATGCACGATTCTCGTTGTCATCTGATTAGAAACGACGGAGCCCCGCATCTCCGCATCAATTTGGTCATTGAACCTCTGCGAAAGGCTTTCTCCCGTTTTGCTAATTGCTCTTCAACCACGACTGCAAATTTATGAATATTAGTTAGTTATAATAATTACTATCATCATTGGTAAACCGGTTTCAATTTAAAGCCAATACAAATAACGAAATGCTAATAATCTCTTGTATTTCTTGCTTCCGTTCCGCGCCACTAAATAAGGTCAAAACTTCAACAACAAAAAATAACTTGAATAATTCCGTATGAAACCTATTACATTTACTTGTTCTCTTTTTTTTCTACAAATGTGTAAATAAATGGATGCAATCCTGCGCAAGATCTAGTTATATAATTATATAACTGTGCCCATCTGAAAGTGGATCAACTTTAATTGGCTCGAAATTAATAAATAAATTAATTAATTTAAAGAAAAACCGCGGGAATTATGAACGTCCGCCCGATGGTTGTATTTAATTGGTTTTCATTTTAATTTCTCTCTCGATTCCGAGAAAGAAAAACCCGTTCCGACCTTAATTTAGTGTTAATTGAAACTTATATATGTATACATATAATATATATATATACCCTTTTTCTTAATTAGTGGCCATCCGCGTACAGACTACTCTTATCTAGATTACTGCTCGTTCGATTGATAATCGCACTTGGCACATGTCATCAATTGATTTCGTCTAATAATTATAAACATCCTGCTGTCAGGTAAACAAAGCTTGCTCTAAAATCATCGATGAATCATGGATTCCATAAAAATAATCTATTTTCTAGAGTTAATCTCTCGTTCTTTTTCTCCCGTACTTGTCACCCACTGTCTAATTGAAAAAATGTGATGTTTATTTTGGTCTTGTATTTCTTTCCGCAGTGATTTCGACAAATTGAACAAGGACGACGTGTACAGGAACAACGAGCTGGCGTTCCGCGTGGCAGAGCAGTACTTGGGGATTCCGGCTCTGCTGGAGGCGGAAGACATGGTGGAGTATCCGGTTCCGGACCGTCTATCCATCCTCACTTACCTGTCGCAGTTTTACCAGGCCTTCGAGGTGTCTCACGGTAAGCAGGAGGCGGCGATGGCACCATGAATTGCAAGCTGTTCATCCGAGGTCATCGCAGCCATAAATAAATAAGTAATAATGCGGAGAAGAGATACGAAAGGAAAAGAAAGAAGAGGGGAAGAAAAAACGAGCGGAGGGTCTCCTCTCTTAAATAATAAAATACAGATATTTATATGCACGAGGTCACGATTGTCTGCCTCGAGGGAAATATTATGTGCATTATCCGTGCCGCAAAGAAGACGTATTGGATAGCGAAATCCTTTTCATTTCGACCTTGTTGTTGCGATTATCATCACATCATCGCCATTGCGGTCGGCCCCACGAAGCGGGAGGAGGAACTGCTGCAATTTTCCTCCCGTTTATCCCATTGTTACGCCATCAAATCCTAAGTACATGGATCAATCAATTGGGCTTAGTTTGCGCAACGATCCTAGGCGGACCAGTTAATTGATAATAAAAGAGCCACGGATATTTTTCGTATCTCCGACCCGATCTTTCTTCTATGTTCACATACTTTACCAGCAAACTGGACTATCATAGTAGTGAGCCGTGCCTTTACGCTCTTATCCCGGCAATATCTCCATCCGCTGTTGTTGTTCTATTATAGTTGTGCAACTATGAAATTCCAATTGCAAAACGCACTAAGGCTAGTTAAGGCACGAAAGCCTGATCTCACTTCGTTCACCTGAGCTTCACGACATTGGCAAGGCCGCCGCCGCCTCTGAAATAACAACAATCGAACGAAAATAAGATTGTAATGAATAATGTGTGTGTATTATGCATACCTGGAGGATTTTGCAATCCTCGAAAACTATATATAACATAGCAATGTTTTCAAAATAGAAAAATCATGCAACCAGTTTAGCACTAAAAACAATGTATTGTTTTTAACTCGTGAATGTTATAACGCAGACGGGATTATTTATTCTGCTCTTAATTATTTAGAACGTTGTCGCTCTTGGTAGTTAATTGGCAATGTCTGCTATATGTAGGAGTTGAATAATTCAATGAGAGTAATCGATATTACCATCCAGTGATAATGGGAAGAGGAGTTGCTGTATATTATCTGCACACATGCAAATTTGAGGTGTGTGTAGCAATAAAGAAAAGACAATTAAGCAGAGATCGAACTTTCTCCGGGGTTCATCAGAAGAAAGTGATGTCGAAAGAATGATGATAATAGTCATCCCGGTTTTATTTGCCCGGCGTGCACAACGTCCTAAACGGTCTGTTAATGTCTTTCGCATCGTCTCGCGTGATTGCAATTAAGGTTTCCTTGGTTGCGTAACGCCCCTGCGCTGCTCCCACGTACCGCATCTGCTGAAATGCCATCGCACGATCAAAACGCCGACCTCGGCGATTTATCAACGCTATTATGCGTTGTACGATGATTATGACCCAATAATTAATTAGACATGTCTTTGCAGGATCACAGTCGAGGGCCGTTCCGAAGAGACCTGCCTCCTCCGTCCCGGATCGGGGCATCGTCTCTCCTGCTTCTACTAGCCCGCCCACTAAGGTAAGTCACAAATCACGACTCATCGTGAACATAATCGGCTGCAACGAAAACGGTGTTCAATGCAATTGGAATTAGAAAAACAATTTCATGTAAACGCACACGTTTTGTATTACTTTGTTACATTTGGATTAAATCATCGAAATTATTAATCGCACCTAAAATAATTTGGAATATTTGAGTGGTTGCCAGAGGATTTCAAAAAGAATTCGGTAGAACAAAATAATCCTTGAAGCAAGATCATTCTATATACATACCTACTTATAATACCTAGCCAGTTACTTTAGTCTCTCTGTAAAGTTTAGTCCATGTTGTGCAATGTGCTATTTTATCCCTTTTTTGCTTGTCGTTATCGTATTCGCTGTACATAGTACTTCATTACATGCTCCAGCTTATTTTATTATTCATCACGAGTAAAATAGATAGAATGAGAGATAGTTAAAGAGAGAGCGAAAACGTCAAATAGCAGGTAAACGTAATAATTGTAGCTGTTAGAGTGTTGTTTGTTTAAACTTTTTGAACGATTTCCTTTGCTTATTCGCATTAGTCGCCACATCCCGCGTGAACGAGTAAGTATTCTTTCCTGCTATTTCGTTGTGCCTGTTGCTCATTGCTTATAAGTTCGCAAGCCAGTGTGGGTTAAGGTTGTTTTACTCTATATTAGCTATCCGATTTTTGTTTTGTAACTGTATGAACTTTGCCATTGTGGAAATACTCGAGTTTCAGTAGTTTGTCTGTTCCTATTGCATTGCATCTCTTTGAAGCTGTTTCTCTAGGTTTAATAATAGCTACGAGCAAGGCAGTTTACGACAAGCAGCAGCGGCAGCCGCGTTGTAAATAGCATCTAAGGGTGCTCTCTCACTCTCCATTTCTTTCATTCTCTGCATAATTATTAACTAAAAAATAAAATAGTACATTGCATCGATATAACAATAGTAATTATATATAATATTTGTATTGTTTTGTTTATATGCTTTAACCCACACTTGTTTGTTTTGTTTTGTTTTTTTTCATTTCGTTTATCAGGAAGAAAGCTTGGATATCATGGGACAATACAAATCAGAAATATTCTGCTAAAGGTAACAAAACGTTTAAAAAAGAATAGAACACGAATCATTATGCTTTACACCTCTTTCTCTTTGCATCTACAATTTCATTATCTTCTCATCTCGATTTCTCATTTGGAGACTTCATCTTGAAAAGCTTACGCTAAAACATGCTTTTTCTTCTTCTCATTCGCTTAGTTTTGATTATCATGTTATAATAATAGGATTTAATTATTTTTGTGTACTTACTAATAATGCTTTTCGTCTCTTTGGTGTGACTGTAGATGGCCATCCGCAGCACGGGTGGCGTAACCGTAGGGATGCCGCGTCGGGACCCGTGCGCCAAGTGCTGTCTTCCTGTGTTCATTGCCGAACGTCTGAACGTAGGAAAACTGCTCTACCATCGCACGTGCTTCCGGTGCGCGAGGTGCAGTAGTCAGCTAACACTCGCCAACTACTACGAGACGGAAACGCCGAACCAGTTCTGCTGCGAGACGTGTCCCGATGAGGTTGTGGCTACGGAGACGACAACATCAAAGAAGGACGTAGACGTCCTTCTCTTGAAGGAGAAGCCGATCGTGGGAAGGTCACTCAGCGACGAGGAGAAGTCAATGCTGAGCAGCGATCAGCAGCACTTCGTCACCGCACTCGACTTCCCGGATGTAAGCGGCTCCGACGAGTTCACACGCGCACGGTCCTTCTTCATGAGCGCCCAACTTAATGAAGATGAGGACGATCATCCGCCCGACCTTCCCAAGACCAAGCCACCCGACACCGTTGAGTTCAAAGACAATTCCGAATCAAACGACAGCGGTCTGTTGTCCACCAATTCTAGTGTAAATAGTGTTAAAGATAATGTTGTTGTTGATGATGATAATAGTAGTAGTATAAATAGTGTTAAGAATTTTGGAGATGACAAAGTTGTTACCAAAGAACCACCACCGGTCACGCCGACGTCCGCGTCTTTGGTGCAGGCAAGGATGAGCATTTTTGAATCATCTACGTTGCCAACCAGCAACGCCGACGATAGCGTTTTAGAATCGTCTCCATCGCAACATGACGAGAGCGTCATCCTCGTCAGCTACAATTTGCCAGCCGTCGTCTCCGATGACTCGCTCACTAATGTCATTGGTGACGACAGCGTCTTCGAATCGTCGCCTTCGACCACATCGTTGAACAAGCGACAAGAGATGCGGCTCGAATCTCCAAAGGCCACACCAAGGAAAAAGTATCAGCAAGAGATTAAACCTTCTCCGCCTGAGGAACAGCCTCCAAAAAGACCTGCCACCCTATTCTATGAATCCAAACGAGATAATATATCAACCAAAAGACCGGCAACGATGTTACAGTCATCGAAACAATCACCACAACAGGAGAAATTGTTCTTTGGTGAGGTAAAATTGCGGAAGACGCCGCCAGAGAAGCGCGCCGCAACGCCGCCGAAGGAGGACGCGTTGCCCGAAATTAAACTGAAACCGATGCTGAAAATAGATTCAATAAAGCGACTGGAAGAAGCCGAGCAAGAGACGATCAAAGCGAAACTTGACGAATTGATGCCCGTCTCGCTAATAGTAAAAGATACGAATGCAGTGACGGAGGGAAGAAACGGCAATTCAAATAGGTTAATGGAAGAAAATATACATATAAACAATAATGATAATGAGTTTGAAGAAGACGAATTATGCGAAGACAATAACGTGGATTCGTTGTTTGAGAATCTCTTGGAGACATCGCTTGAGAAGGACTTTAATAAGTTAGCTGATAATTGTCTGGATGATGATGAGTTCGCTCTAGATGACGATTTCGAGCGACTAGTTCAGTCCTTGGACAAACAACCGGTAAATATAATGGTGAAAGAGTCTGAACCAATCGATAAGAAAGATCAAAATGTGTCAAATCGAGTGGAAATTGTTAAAACTGAGGAGAATGTTGCGCAACTCCAAATGGATGTTAATAAAGATGATGAAGATATTAATATTGATAATACTGAGAAATGTAAAGAACAAGAATATCCTGGAGATTTGAACCCATTCGGCGATGATAATGCTTCACTAAATCCATTTGGCGACGATGATGTTGCCGATGAAGAAGTTGCAGATAATGATAAATCATTGAATCCCTTCAGCGATGATGAAGATGATGAACAGATACTCGACGTAATTTCACCAGCGAAGAGCACAAATCCTTTCGAAGATGACGATGATGAGGATCAGCCAGAGCAAGAGATATTCAAGAAACCTAACCCGACGGCACGCAAGTTAATTCCGGCTCCCAGGATTAGTTTACCGCATTTCTGGAACAACGAGCACAAGTAAGTTTTTGATAGTTGTTTCTATTTAAAATTTTAAAACAAAATAATAAAAACAATGCGGGCGATTTGGTTTGGTTGTTAGTTACGGAGACCAGAGGACCGTTAGTTCTCGCTCATTAATATTCAACGCAAGTACGCAGGAACTACCTTTTCGCCGCTTTGTTAGGAGCATTTTTATAGTTCTACTTTACTAACCATTGTATAATGATGAAACATTGTGTCACCAGAATTTCCGGCGGTGAACAGCAAAGAGGCGAGAATTCCTCCTTCGGATCTTCCACGTCCATCTCAAGTGGTGCTTCCAGCGCACATTCGACGAGGCGGAAAAAGGCGGCGCCGAGACCGCCGATCTCGAATCTCCTGGACCAATCGTCTCTGCAGCAGAGCCGCCCCAGTGATGCCAGTCCTACGCCAAGCGTTGTAAGTTGTCGACTATTCAGTCTTTGGACAGACCATCAATTTAATTAATTGTTTGCAGCAAAATTCACCCAGACCAAGGAAGAGCAAGAGGGCTCCGGCGCCCCCGACTTCGACACCCGCCGCCAATCACAGACTATTGTCGCCCTCGGATATATCACCTATCAATGAATCCACCATCATCAACAGCAATTCTAAGTCTATGACGCTTGAAGCTGACGAATATGAACGCGAGAAGGACGTCAAAGATGAGAGGAATAGAACAAGGCAGAGCTGCAATAGTGAGTTGATGACCTATAAATCCCCGATAACTAGTAACTAAACGATAATTGCAGGTTCGAACCAGTCTAGCTTCGGAATACCCAACAAGAGCACTTATGGCAAATGGAAGAGGAAAAAAGGTCAGGCGCCAACACGGCCTATCCCGCAGAAACGAAGTATTAAGGCTCTACCGATGACGGAGGTGCGACGCGAGCTGGGCATCATCGAGGTACAGCAGCAGGGTCTCGAGAAGCAAGGTGTGCGGTTAGAGCAGATCATCAGAGAAAAATGCGAAGGACCCAATTCGGATGCGGATAGCGCGGTCAGCATCGAAGCTGAGGATCTGATCCTGCAGCTGTTCGAGGTAGTCAACGAAAAGAACGAGCTGTGCAGGCGGCAGGCAGAACTGATGTACCTACAACGGCAGCAGCGATTGGAGGAAGAGCACGCCGAGATTGAGTATCAGATCAGGTGTCTGATGTTGCAGCCGGAAGCAAACAAGACTGATACGGACAAAGCTCGCGAAGAAGAACTTATCCTTAGGCTGGTCGACATCGTCGAAAGGCGAAACGAGATCATCGAGTGTCTGGAGATGGACAGGGTACGCGAGGCCGAGGAGGACGACAGCATATGCAATTCGATGAATACGTACGCCACCAAGAGGGACGAGAACGTGCTCATCAATTCGAACGAGAGTCCCAAGAAGAAAGAGAAGAAAAAGTTCAGGAAAAAGTTTAAACTGAAGAGTTCGTTGTCGTCTTCGCCCAAAATCGATATGGACAAGGATGTAGACGAGTGCGAACCTTCAGAGGCTGTTGTTAAAGATAAAAAGAAGAAAAAGTTTAATCTGTTTTAAAAGTGGGAGCTGCAGCATTGAAATAGAATCGGAGAACATTACTTTTCCCGGCGAAAATCCGATATCTATTTTATCGATATATTTGTTTGTTTTTATTCTGTTCGTGTCACTCTATTTATACACGTTCGCAGTACTGTGTGTTACTTTTAATATGTATAACTATTTAACATAAGATGTTATAGCTATTTAAGTCCCCATTTTCGTTTTCTACTATCTATCAAGATTCGGAAATGTTTCCCGGCAGTATTTTTATTATTATTATTACTAAGAGAAACTTTTTATTATTTCTAATAATTCTATAAATAAATATTTAAAGAAAAAAAACTACTTCATTAGACACATTTATTGAACGTGTTATTTTCATCCTCTTTTTTTTTCACAAAAGATCCAATTGTCAGAATAAGACTTTTTAAAATAAATTGAAAAAATAAACAATAATGTCAACGTAATATTACATATAAAATTTAGGTATAAATACTATTCCTCTGAGTCAAGATCATGCAGCTTTTGCATAAAAAGCTCCATGGATATTTTCGTTTGAGCGCGCTTCTTTGCAGTTATCTTTTTAGCCTTCATCAGTCTTTTCTTTGACTTCACTTTGCTGCGAGTCGCGTGGTCTACAAACGTGAGAGATCTCTTTAGCTTCTTTTTGCTCATTACTTTATCATCGCCAGTTGGATCTTCAAATATAGTTTCAAGACTGGGATTCTTCAATTTCTTATTGCAATTTAGGTAGATCTTTTTTATCTGTTTCAGATCATTCTCCACTGTCAGTATTTTTTTGGGATCTATTATTTCAACTTCTGATTTTGCTACCTGCAGAGCTTCTGTCTGAACTGTAAGAGGACTCTGACCTCGCAAGGACCTTCTAAGATTTGGTTTGGCCACCATTGAAATACTACTCTGATCTTCTTGTGAAGTCTCTATTTCTTTCTCAGATTGTACAGTATCCTCAGGTTCCTCCTCTAGCATGATCTGCAGACAGCAGGGGTCAATGAATTTATGCAGACCAGACAGTCTTCTTTTGTTCCTCTTTGGTGAAATCTCAAGGCAACTCAGATTCCATTCAAGATCCATCCCTGTGGTTCTGCAAATATTTTCAATATTCAAATCTAATACAATTGACAACTAACAAATGTATGTCATTAGCTAGTGTAATCAACAATAGACAAAACTAGCAAAAATATGTCTCACCATAATTAACTTAAATCTATCCATATTCTTGTCCTTCCAATATGTATAAATCTTCATAAAGTCTAAAACATCGAATTTCAATGAAATTTTGCACATTCAAATTGAAACTTATTTAAAACAAACGGGCGATCATCCATAAACAACAAAAAAACAAGTACTCCAACTGTAAGTAACGAAAACAGACTAAAATTAACTAAAATTCTTCTCAATTCTTAAGACAGACAGGGATAACAACATAACGAATCAAAACAACTAACAGCTGCTAAGGCCCTCTCTCGGTAGACATAATTATATTGTCTACTCCCCACTTCCTCTTTAATTCATTTTAACCTATGAATTTCGTCCCGATTCTATTCTGTGCTAGTTAACTTTGGACTCATTTCGACTGGAATTCCTGTTGGAATAAACGTGAAGATGACTTCTTTGTATCTACGCAACGTGCCAAGGATTCTATCCCAGGCAAGTGCAAAGCAATATCAGTGTTTATATGTATGCCTATGTTTACATATTGGTTTACTGATGATGATATAATAACCATATGACTTTGATTTGTAGGCTGCCCAGGGCGCCAGGAATTTCCACAGCACTGCATCCAACAACAACACAACAGTAAATAAATATATTCATTCATTTACTATATAGAATGATTAACACCTATTGTATTCTAATGTGTGATCTGTTGTAGGGGGCCATTGAAAGGCCAGACACCCGTACCAAATGCACCTTGATACCTGGTGATGGTGTAGGACCAGAACTCCTGAATTCTGTTATTGAAGTGTTCAGGGCAGCCTCTGTGCCAGTTGACTTTGAGACCTATTTCTTCTCTGAAGTCAACCCTACCCTGAGCGCGCCCTTAAATGATGTAGTTGCTTCAATATCGCGCAACAGAGTGTGCTTGAAGGGAATCCTTGCTTCCCCTGACGCCAGTTACTCCGGAGAATTGCAGACCCTTAACATGAAGTTGAGGACATCTCTGGACCTGTACGCCAATGTGGTGCACGTGAAATCGCTGCCAGGTGTGAAGACCAGACATGAGAACATCGATTGCGTTATTATTCGCGAACAGACTGAGGGCGAGTATTCTGCTTTGGAGCACGAGAGCGTCACCGGCGTCGTGGAATGCCTGAAAATCGTGACGGCCAAGAAGTCCGAGCGCATCGCCAAATTTGCGTTCGACTACGCCACCAAGAACAACAGGAAGAAGGTGACTGCCGTTCACAAGGCAAACATCATGAAACTGGGAGACGGTTTGTTCCTGAGGAGCTGCGAAGAAGTTAGTAATATAGATAAATATGTTTATTGTGGTTTAAATATGATAACTGTTTTCATTTCATCTTGTTTATGCGTTGTTAGATCGCCAAGCTGTACCCAAAAATTGAATTTGAGAAGATGATTGTCGACAATTGTACCATGCAGATGGTTTCCAAACCTCAGCAGTTCGACGTTATGGTGATGCCGAATCTGTACGGAAATATCGTGGACAATATTGGATCGGGGCTGGTGGGTGGAGCCGGTGTTGTCTCTGGCGCCTCCTACTCCGCCGACACCGTCGTCTTTGAGCCTGTATAATTATATTATCAGATGATAGAAGGAAATTTATTAATGGATTATAAAATTTCAGGGTGCGAGGCATACCTTCTCGGAGGCCGTCGGAAAGAACGTCGCCAATCCCACCGCGATGTTGCTCTGCTCTGCTAAATTGCTGAATCACATCAACTTGGGCGCCTATGGCAGCATGATCAGGAACTCTGTTGATCAGGTACTGAAGGACGCCAAGGTGCGCACTAAGGATATTGGTGGCCAAGCTAGCACCCAAGAGTTCACCAGGGCAATCATCGCCAACCTGAAGCCAATCAATTGATGATACACGTTAATCTTCGTTCGTGTTTGTTGCTTCTAATCGAGTGCCCCAGTATTTTAATTTATTATTTATGTAAATAAACAGGACAAAGATAATTATAAAAGGTTTACCCAATCGACTAACGAAATAATTGTAGTTTTCATCGCCATTATTAGTCCTCATCTTCGTAATCGTCGTCGTCGTGCTTCTTCTTCTTTTTCTTGACTTCGGGCTTTTTCGCTTTCTCTCCAGGCAGCAACCTCGGTTCGGCAAGCTTTAAGATTCTCTTCGTCGGTCGGTATTTGAAGCAGATGGGGTTAACAACGAACGCGAATTCGCGCGGTTGGAGTTCTTCACGTTTTATAGCTACCGCCAACTTGATCACCCTCTTTGATGCTGAGCAGAAAACGAAACTTAATTAATACAAAAAGATGGGGCGTGTAGCTATAGTCGCCTGTATCACGAAAATCCGATACGACAAAGTTGGTTCGAACTCCAAAAAACCAAAAAAAAAATAGTGAGTAGAGATTTATATAAATTATTATTAATTGTTCTTGATGGCGTAGATTTATATCAATAATAAAGAGATTTATATTAATAATAAATGATATAAATCTCTTAATTAAAAAAAAATAAATTAACGCAAACAGGCAAAACGGTATACCTTTCGCCTTCAACGCTTTCCTGTTAACTCTGCCCAACCTCCTTGGTTTGCGGATCTTTTTCCAGCGACGAGGGATTGCGCTGAGCTCCTCTATTTTCGGTGAAGCAACGTACTCTTTCGCAGATTGCTTTATCTATATACGTATACGAAACATAGTGTATATGGTATCGATAATCAAGTAATTCTAAAGCTAACCTTGATGACATTCATCAGGTTGGTGGAATCTTGAGAGGGACGAATGTACAGTCTTCTGGTGAGCGGCGATGCAAGTTCGTCGAGTCTTGGCGTGGTGGAGGCGGACAATGCTTCTATCTTCACCTATTTTTTGGTTGCTATATAGTGAATATGTGCAGTATGTTGATAGACTTACGTGCTTATGTCTCGGTGGTTTCTTGTACATGAGTCTGGGCAAGGGCTTTGACAGAGCCTCGAATTTCGCAGCTAGCGTCGCTTCATCCGTTATGTTTTTCTGCTCAATCAAATTAAATGTAGATTGGGATTAACTAAAGAAAGAAATAATACTCACCGGCCTCCAACGGGGAGGAGGTTTAGGAACCGTTTTTGGCTTCGAATTATCGATGCACCACTGCTTCAGTTCCCTCAGAACTTCCCGCCTTGGCCTTGGCACGATGATGTCCTCCATCCTCAAGCGCCGAACGAACGTATGGAATAAAAACAGAAATGAAATGTGAAATGTTCACTGGAAATTTTGATCTGATTGACAACTAATGACCTTTTGTTTTCACTTCATTTGTTATGTATTATTCTTGGCAACGAATATGGTAAGTCTTCAAATAAATTAATGTTTATTTCGCTTAAGTTACAATGATGATAATATTGGTGTTTATTAACTAAGGATTGACTTGTTCATTCCACGGCCACGTATTTGGGAGTTATGATCCTCGGTGTGGCCAGCTGCTTCATCCTGGGTGTGGCCACGTACTTCAACGCTCCTTTCCTTGTCTGGAACGCGTACGGATTGCTCGTGTCCTCATACGACCTATGCATGGCCAATTCGGTGACCCTCGGCGACGCTGGAATCAATATATTTAAATGGTTGCATCTCGTTGTTGGACATCATTACCTGCTGCAGTCAAAGCTCCTTTCTTCACGTATCTCGGCTTGACAGGTTTATACTTCTTTCCTTTCTTGCCCTCCGCTAGTTTTTCAATGCGCGGAGTCGCTGTGTATTGGAGAGCTTTTCTTTTAACCCTAAAGAAAATATCATAGTTAGTTTTTCTGTAGGGTCTCCTCGGCTCTGCCATATCGGCGATCCTCTCCGATGGTTTATAACGCAGCGCGGAGTTCTTGACGCGGAAGAACTCGTTCATTTCATATATCCCGTCCACCGAGGCCCTCCAGAAGAGCCTCCTATGCGTCGGTATGGCCAATCGTTTGATGATGGGGGTCGCCTTGTACGTCTGGGTTCGTGCTTTCACCTAAATATTACTAATATTAACATCTTACTTTTATGAATTTGTTTTTAGTATTACCATGAAGGCTGTCACCAAAATCTGCATGGAATCCTGTGAAGGACTCTTCCGCATCAACCTTGGGGTGGGGACGCTGAGTTTCAATACGCGCGGCATCAGTTTCTTTAAGGGAGCTTTCTTTCCCCTCTGAAAATTAACTCAACGTTTGCTCAACCTACACGACACACTATAAAATACAACAATGTTTACCGAAACCGCCGGCTGTCTTGGGATTTCGCGCGGCTGCGAGTTCTCCTCGACCCACTTCATCATCTTGGCCGACATCCTCTTCTTGACCTTAGTCATTCTGACACCCTTTCTTCACAGCTGTTATTATCTCTCAATGATGATTGATGATTGGTCTATTGCTTGGTTTCCTATTGTTTAATCTTATTATTTTTTTATGTGTTTCTTTTTGGTAGTGTATTTCCAAAGTCCGCTTATTTTCTATCGATTGGTTTGGCCAGCTCCTGTATTCTTGCGGTGGCGACGTACTTGAGGGCACCGGGACTGATCGGAATGGGGAATTCTCTGTAATCCGTATCGGTGGAAGTCGCCCTAGGCTTTGGTACTGACAACTCCTTGACCCTGGGCGAAACTGAAAAGAAGTGTATGTGTGTGTGCGATCAGTTCAGTTTTGTCATTGGACTGGAAACGCACAACCAAAAAGAGCCCCTCTTTACGGCGCTTTCATTGGATGTGCAAAGTTAATGTGGTGATACACTGCGAATTTCGATGACAGATGCAAATATACACGGCTCGCTTTGATCTTTTGATCGATACTTACTAACTGCAATCAAGGCCATGGGATCCACGGTTCCCGGTTCGACGATCTCCTCTTTCATTGTGCGAAAACGTGACGGTTGGGCTAACTCCAATACCCTGAATGTCGGCTTGTACTTGAGCGCGTTCGGCTTCACTTTGCCGAGGTTGTTGATGTTCATCGAATCCTGTGAAGGGCTCACATACAACCATCTGGCCTTTGATAGCTTTAAAAGTCTTGGTTCCAACGTTCCCAACTCAGCATGCTTCCCTCTCTGCGAAATAATTATATAAAATTACTTTTAAATACTTTCAGTTAAGTTAACCCAATATGAGTTAAAAAATAACGATGCTAGCAATAATTTCATTCGATGCTTACGTTGATCTTCTCCGGTGGAAACAACTTCTTCGGCTGTGCTCGATTCGCGCACCATTCAAAGACCTCCTTGAGCTTCTCCTCCTTAGATTTCTTTGTCTTGGATTTACCAGGAGATTTGCTGGCGCCCCTCTTCTTATCCGGCTCCTTACTTTTAGAACGGCCCCTCGATTTTGCACGTTTCCTTATTTAGCAAAGAAAAAGAAAATAAGTAAAAACAAGATAAAATTGTAGTTATTAATTTAATTTATTAATAATTCGTCGAACAATTGCACACGAAAACACCTACTTATAAGCTTTCTTAGCCCTTTTGTACTCGTAATACGGGGAATTGTAGGAGACCTTGCCCCGCTTGTCCATCCTCTGCTCGAACTTCTTCCCTAAGCTCTCCTTGAAGATCTTTTTCTGCACTGAGTAGAACCTGCGTATGGATATATATTATTTAGATGATGCCTTCGATGATTGGATTATGATTTGCCTTGGCGGAAAGCTGGCCAGCTCGTTCAGACGTCGCGTAACCGTTTTCTCGTCCTCGATCTTCGGCTGCGACTTCTTCACGCTCACCTTGGACGACTTCTCTTTCAGAAAAGTGTCTTTCTCCTGCGGCGACATCTTGAACATCTCCACCTCTTCGGTGTGACCCTTAGGCACTGCCAACATATCAATGCGCCAGTTGTGCCTGAATCTCTTTTCTTTCAGCCGAGCTCGCGCCTTGTCGCCCTTCTCATCCACCACCTTCTCCTCTGGCTCCGCCATCGCCAAGCGTTCTTTTTTTGATATCTTTTTCTGAAATGAAATATACGAATAATTTTGTCCGAACGTAAAATTTTGATTTATGTATGTCAGTGATTTTGAACTACAGACCACTTGATCCTTTAACGATTTAATTGTTAATCTTAATATGTTATATAAGGTGTCCCAGCAAGACCCCAAAATCTAAATTTTAAATAAAACACTTTTTTTTTTGAAAATACCAAAATATTGATATCGCAAGGTTTATATTTCTCCGGTCTTTAAAAAAATCTTCAGTATACATATACAAATTTATATATCAACAAAAAATTTCTATTTATTATTTAATTTTATATTTAAGTATTTCAAATTTGTTGTCTTTGTATTGTTTAATAATCTGATATAGTAAAACCTTTTTTTTTGTGGCACAAAAATAGGTTCTATTGTATTTGTAACTAACGCTAAGTTTCACTTTTCTCATACTTTCTGCTATAATTAAATGTAATTGTCCTTGGAAAGACAATTCATTTGAACTTTATTAACATCTCCTATATTAGTAAACCATAAAGTATAAGGTTTATCCAGCAGTTTAAAATTTAAAATCTTCTTGGTTTCATTGATTTTCTAAAGGTTTCCTTCTACATATTATCCGTATTCATGGCTGTTAGTTATAGTTGAAGAGAACTGATAGTACTTTTTTTTCATATTCGTGTAGATAGTTTTGCAGAAAGTTATTTGTAATTGGAGATTTTTTATATAATTATGCAATTACCTAAAATTGTATCTTCTATAACAGAGTTTCTCAACCCAAAATTTGCTGTGAGAAAAATAATTTCCGAATCTTAGCTGTAACAATCGTCTTCTTCGAATTCGTCTTTCCTTCGTTTTCTTAAAATTAACATAGCTGAATAAAAACCCAGATCATAGAACAGTTGCTGATGGTACGCAGGAAACTACCATCAAAATTCCTGCATAACGACTGTGTCGTTATACTAATTACTAAATTAAGCGAATTTTTTACATTTACTACAAAATTATCGAGAAAATGAGAAAAAAATAAAAGTTATTTTCAAAAAAATATTGTTATTATATTTCCTCAACCGTTATAACATTTTATTGGAATTAATATTGAGTGAATGTTGTTCGAAATATACATTTACCAACGAAATTATTTTCCAACTTGACTAATTGTTATACGAGGGATACCTGAATTAATTAATAACAGTGGCATCTTGTAATATAATACAAAATACAAAGTTCATAAAAGATTTCCATGCTAATAGATGAAATAAATCAAATGTGCTAAGTGGGGGAGAAAAGATAGAGAGCGAGGGACAGGTGAAAGTACTCTTCTGCACTTGAGCACTTGGACTTGAACGTGGCGAGGCTGAGATTTGTGTGTCGTAAGTGCGGTCAACTTAAGTCCATCGTCAGCAGAACCAACAAAAACAGCAATTAGAAACCGATTGCATTCGAAATACGACACGCGACGTTTGCTTCCAGTTCTACGATTGTATGGAAAACACGTAAGTACAGTTTACCTCAATTCAAATTGTCCTCGAAACATCAATTCCCCATTAGAAAATCGCATGTACAGCAAACGACGAAACGCCTTAACTCATTTAAACCATTACCGAAAGCCCCCAATTAATGCATTAATTAAATTTGTACACGTACTAAAAAAGTTATAATCAACGTTGAGGAAAAAGCCGAATCGCAAACTTCTTAATTATTTGTTTATTATTTGCACCTAATAGCAAACGTTTAAAATGTATTAAAAATAACACACATTTATTATTCTATTAATCGACACTCTCTATTTACTTGAAAAATTATGTGGAAATATTGAATTCTAACTGGGAAAATTTTCGGAATTTTCCTGACTTACATTACATTTTTTTTCTTCAAACAGACGCATCAGAGTTAATATTAAACGTTGTTTACTTTTTGTGTTTGTCGGCCTTGTGACGTCATTTTTAGCACGTTGAAGAGGTGAAGTGGACAAGAAAATAAAATGATTTATAACGAAACTGCAATTTTTGTAATTGCTATTTTTTAATGGTCGGAAAGACGCAAACAAATTAATTAAAAACATTTAGAAATCATGAAATCAATTCTAAGTATCGATGAACATTTTCCTGTCAGCAATTTAATTTATTGAGTCATTAGCTAATTTTATTTGATTTCCTAGAAACGTTTTCATGTCTCTATGTAAATGACTGTCACCAACAATCATATTAGTTTATTTTTATGAAAATACACTGAATAGAATCATTTAAAAGAGTCTTCATAGGAGGAATAGAATTTGACTCTAATCTTTTAGAACCAAAGTGTTGATATAATTTTGCTTTCGGAACTTTCGCTTGAACTATTTACTGGACACAATTTCATCCTAACTTTCCTTAAAAAAAACTTACGAACAGTTAGAACTAATATTTTTTCATGAACTTCAAACTATAATTAATTTCTATTTCATATCTATGATAAAAATTTAATTATTGAAAGTATTTTCAATTTGATTTTGCAATGTACATACAAAAAAGTTAATAATCAGATGGATATTGAAGAATCTTCAAACAAAGTTCCTAAAATTTATTTTTTAAATAAAATTTTCGACGTGTTTTGTATTAGATTAATTTCAATTAGTAGATTTAAATATTTTTCACTAAATTATTAAATTTCAGAAGTTGTAACAAATAGTACATACGCTGATTTCCATCAAACAAGCATAACATTTGAAAAAGAGTCGATTTGACGGAAAGATTGTAAGGAACTTCAGATATCGGATTTATTAATTAAAAGACAAAGTAACTAGTGACTCTAATAAAAGACAGATCTGTTTTCTCAGATAAATAATGCGTATTTATTGAAGTCATATTGAAAAATATTACTCACTTAATATATATAGTTTTCAGTTAAAAATCAATTGATCATTAATTAATCATTAAGTAGAAGTACGCAGAGATAAGTAATTAAATCAAATCGTGGTGCCGCTATATCAACTATTTAAATGCCATTCGTTCTGTTATATTCGATGCGGAGGATGTGCATCTGGTTTGGTGTCAAAGACCTCTCTCTGCGATTCTCGCTCTTCATTTACCTCCACTTCTACAAATAATATTTTAACGCGTTTGATACAATGCGGTATACCGGTTTGCGTTTTCTTGCTGCTCCCTTTGCATCTTCCGTTGCTCGAACTAAAAGACCGTGTCTTGACTGGTGGTAGGATGAATGTTCTTGGTCTCGATCTGTGCACTTGTCTGCTGCTCGCCGCAAGTCTGATTGTCGTCGGCGCCGTCGCCCTCGTTTTCCTGCTGAAGCTATACGCGTCCCGCACCTGTGGATATTTTAAAGATAAGAAAAGGATGGACGGAAAGGTGATCCTCATCACCGGCGCCAACGGAGGCATCGGCAAAGAGACGGCCAGGGAGTTGGCAGCCAGAGGAGCCAAAGTAATCATGGCCTGCAGGAACGTAGACACCGGCAACGAGGCCAAAGGTAATGAACAACGATAATAAATAACATCACCAATGAATATTTTTATTTTTTTGGACAGACGACATTGTGAAATCCACGGGAAATAATAACATTATCGTGAAAAAATTGGATTTATCATCGCAGAAATCGATCAGGGAGTTTGCAGCTGATCTCATCAAGACTGAGCCGAAGCTCAACGTCCTGGTGCATAATGCTGGTACCGCCGAGAAGAAGACACAAGTCACCGAGGATGGCATCGAACTCACGATGGCAACCAACCATTACGGACCGTTTCTGCTCACCCACCTGTTAATTGGTTCGTGCATTTGCGAAACGCGTTAAAACGGAAATCTTAATAAACAAACTGCATTTTCAGATCTGCTGAAGAAATCTGGACCGAGTAGAATCGTCGTTGTTGCTTCAGAGTTGTACAGATTTTCGACACTGAACTTGAACAAATTGAACCCCGTCGATGCGTACGTGCCTCTCTACTTGTACTACGTGTCCAAGTACGCCAACATCTGTTTCACATTGGAGCTGGCCAGGAAATTGGAAGGCACCAATATCACCGCAAATTGTCTGCATCCCGGCATGGTGGATTCGGGCATCTGGAGGAACGTTCCATTCCCGCTGAACATCCCCACAAAACTGATAGTGAAGGGAATGTTCAAAACGCCGGCTCAGGGTTGCCAAACGAGCGTCTTTCTCGCCGTCTCTGATGAGGTGGAAGGCGTCAGCGGCAAGTACTTCATGGACTGCAAGGAGCGCGGCCTCTCGTCCGGCGCCACGGAGGTCAGCAAAGCTAGGAAACTGTGGGAGTTCTCCGAGAAGTTGGCTAATTTAAAAGAAACCGATCCGAAAATATAAAATTGATCGTATTTATTTAATAATTTTTAGTTTTTTTATTTGACACATGTAACGACAGAATTGAAATAAAATGAAACTTAATCCAATCGTTCGTCGCTTCTCAACTTGACCAGTCTCTCGGTTTCCAACCAAATTTTATCACGGAATTTCTTGCTCCAAAATAACGGAGGTATGGGATACGATTTGCAGTCCATAAAGTATTCACCAGTTGTGTTTCGAAGCTTATACGAGGTGGCCAAATGTAGGGTCGTTTGAGCTGCTTGGTGATTGCTCTATAAAAATCACATTATATATATTTCTATTAATTTAATATTTATGAAAAACTTAAGTTCTTGAAAAAATAAAATATCATTAATGTAAAACTTGCAAATAATTAGTTAACTCATTATAGTCGGGAAAATAACTTTAAGCAATCTAATTTCATATGTAATTTTTACATTAGATTAATATTTTTAAGAATGTTGCAAGCTTTTGTTCTTTCATCTTGTACACTTTAGATCAGTAAAAATATATTCGCGGACCCCTAAAATATTAAAATATTTATAGTGGATTTATTTACATTATATAGTAACAAAAAAATTTGATATGCAATAATAATTCATAAATCAAAAAACAGAATTTAACATAATATTAATTATGAATCAACGAGTAATATTTAATTTAAAATAGCGAAGAGACAAATGTGCCAAATTAATGAGACTTCTATAGTTTAGTACAAATCACTAATTTGTCTATTCGCACTTTAATTGCGTTTCTCAAGTCTATACGCAAGCAATGATTTATTCTAGTAGTTCCCAACTCTACTGTGCCATACCCCACCAAAGCCTTTCTAAAATTCTTATGTCCTCTATGTGATATATACATACATATGGTTAAACTCGAGATGTATCCAATTTCGAATTGCATGTTAAGGCATTGTATCATGGTGGGGCGAAAAACCCTTTCGCACAGATATGCAGAACAGGTGCTGATATTCCATCCGAATACGTATTCAAAATTGTACCAAACATTTTTTCTTGAAAAGTGAATTCAAACTTAAATCCTTTGTCAATTTAAGCAGAGTGTCATTGTGAGTTGGTCATAAATTGGTATTATCCTTGTTATTATAAGGATGTCGAATCCACGTCAAGTTTATTTGATTTTTGAAGATGACATTGAATTAAATAATTTGTATGTTTATTATCAAATTTATAATTATTTGAAATTATTTGATAATAATTTGGAAACATTTCTAGTGGATCATAATTTTTCGTTTTCATTCAAATAGATTTCAATTTGTTACTTAGTACTATCTTATATTTGATACATCATAAGAAGAGTTTACCTTCAAAATGAATAGAGAGATGAGTTTGAAAATGCCTTTGAAGAATTTGGACTGAAGCCAGTTGTCGTAAATCCCTGTATTTGTGCCTCCAGGATGCAAAGAATTCACGCTTATACCGAATCTTTTCCATCTTCGAGCGAACTCCGTGCTCGCCATCGTGATGCACGCTTTACTATTATAATATACAATGTACTCTTTCAACGTGGATCTCTTAAACGTGGAAGTTCTGTACGGATTGTTGAGGTCCTCCATATCCATAGTGGAAAAATACGCGGCGATCGAACTGACGAGCACTACACGCGCTGATCCAGACTTTTTCAGCAGATCTGAAAATCAACAATTAATATACCCGTACACCACTTGTATTTTATTTACCAGTGAGCAGGTGCAGCAGAAGGAAAGGTCCGAAGTAGTTGATCTGCATGACCAGCTGCAGTCCGTCCTTCGTGAAGATGTTGCCATTGCTTGAAAGAATTCCGGAGTTGTTGATGAAGATGTCCAGTTTCTTTTCCTCCTCCATCAACTCTTGGGCAAAACGCCTCACCGAATCCAGTGAAGAGTAGTCCAAGTATTTCAGCACAACATTTCCGTTATTCGTATATCTTGTAATATTGTCAGCTAATTTCTGAGTATTATTTCTGCTTGCTATAATAATCCTGCATCCTCTCGAAGCCAATCCCAAAACGGTTTCATAACCAATTCCTAAATTAGTTAACTGCAACTAATCATCCCATCAAATGTTTCCTCATTTACCTGCATTTCCGCCAGTTATCAAAACGGTTTTTCCGACGAGGCATGTGTTGCTGCGGCATACTCCGTGCGATAAGTTGATAAGCGTTTTGATGACGAAGACAATCACAAGACATGCAACTATATCGAACAGCATTGTTAATAGTTATGAAAACATTTTGAACGGTTTTAGAAGTGCCATTCCTGTTAATGGAATAACCATGTCGCATTTTTAATTATAGTCATTTAATTTGATATCAATAATAAATGTACACAGGGTGGTCAAAATAAACATTCATTTCATCCGTCATAAATATAAAAATAATAAATATTTTTATTTAGTATTTGTTTTTATTTAATACTAAATATTACCATTTTGTACGTTATATTAATATTGTTATAAACAAAGATCGAATCATAATTGAAAACACGATTGGCTACTAGGCATGTCGTTTTAATAATAACATAATTCTATTATAACTGGATAATAAATGTGTAAAGCCATGACACAAATAATTATATTTTTTTTAAGATTCTTATAAATAAAATGGATAATTGAGCGTAAAGATATCTCCTCAATAGATATGAGACAACATTCATTTTATTGATCTGACAGCTGCTATTGCAAATTGTACTCTCATGTTTAATAACTGAAATAGATATAAGTAATGTTGTGTCACGGGATTAATAATCTCTGGATACTGTGGATTATCTCGTAGCTATGTAAAATTGGCTTCTAATTATGAATTGCATTACTTTTTAATAATAACATGGATAATAAATGTTTAAAGCCATTACACAAACAACTATATTTATTTAAAGATTCTTACAAAACCGTCAATAAAGTAGATAATTGAGCGTAAATATATCTCCTCAGTTGATCTGAGACAACTGTTAGTATTATGTTCATGACAAGTTTCATTTCATTAATCTGATAGCTGCAATTGCATATTGAGAGTACAATGTTTAATAACTGAAATAGATATATGTATTGTTGTATAAAAAAGTTTTATCAGTTATTTAATCATTATTTTTTTAGTTGATCAAGGCATTAAAAGATGTAGAGCAGGCGCGATCCGTCCAAGGATACGGTGAAACAATGCAATCCAAAGCTTGAACAAGTTGCCAGAATTAAAATAAAATATACAATTAGCGACAGTGATGCAGAAAACGATTGACAGTGTAATTGAATCACACAAGCAGATATTCTGAACTTAAATTTTATCGTAAAGAAGAAGGATGAAATTGCGAGTAAATTTCAATAAATCGAGTTCAACCGAAACTTTGGACGTTTATCCAATTATTTAGATATAAAGTTACAAATTAGTCTGAAACGTTTGTCTTACATGAATCAATTTAAACAATATTTGGATGGAAAAAGTGATACGTTCTTGAGCTTAAAACATTCTTCGACTCTGGATGTTCATGAACAAAAAAAGTTTTAATTTGGAGGATGTCGTGGAGACTGCAAACTATTAAAAATATATCTGAGTATTTTTTTATAAGGATATGGCTGATCTGGTGGAGAACATCAAATATTTCCGTCTGATGAGCCCTATGATCGAATGAATTAAATTTGTTATGCTTCAACAGTTTAAAAGGATAAATAATTTGCTTTGCTTGCACCTATTTTTTTTTACTTATATATGTATACATTTTTTTTATTAATACAAATAATATTATTATTTTAATAGTCAACTGATACAAAAGGGCTATTGACCATAGGTCTTTCTGTCCCAATTTTAATATTAAACATAATGTTTACTTTTAAATCTGAACTTATGGAAGATTTTTTACTTTTTCAAAACAAACTGACTCCTATCACAGACTCCAGTGCAGTGGCGGATAGTTGGGGCCTCTAGACGAATTATTTTTCGGGCCTCCCAAAAATACTAAAAATAATAATCTATTTTAAATACTGTAGGGCAGGAGTTCCCAAACCTTTGCCCGCGGGCACCATGGCGCCCGCCGACCGTTTTACGTGCGCCCGCCGCTGTGCGGTCAAATATTATTTGTATTATTGACTATGTCCAACTATAAATTTACTTTAAAAAAATAATTGGTGCCCACCGCCAGACCGGAATTCTAGAATGTTCTCTTGGGTGCAAAAAGGTTGGGGACCCCTGCTGTAGGGAAATGTCTTCGTTCGGTCACAAATGAAGAAGAAGACGCAGAAATGAGAAATTTTAACATTACCTTAAATCAACTCAAGGACTATTTTTTTCTAGCAGTTGTTTAAAGTGATTAAAATTGTTGAACACCATGCAGCAAAAAGAGTTCGCACATGACGCAAAATGCATCTGTAAAAATTGTCTATGTTTGGTAATAATTAACAAAGAAATCTTCAATCAACAAAAAAATGTAAAAATTACAAATATTGGATGCAAATCTTAGCGTTCTCTAATTTTTTTAGTTTGCTTAAAAGAAATTTACTAGTTTTTGAAAATATTGAAAATAAAATATCGGTAATTATTTTTTTTAATTTAGTTACGTGAAATCAAACTTTGTACACTTATAATTATCGAAAGATTGAGTAGCATCTATTCGATCTGTTTTAATTGTGCCACGAACATGTTTGTCTATGAGTTGATTCTCATAATAATTCTAGTGAAGATATGCTTCAAACTGACGAACGGTATCTGTAAGAGCAATGCAAGTCTCGTCGGTAAAACTGCATTAGTCACCGGCGGAAATTCAGGTAAATCAATACATTCAATATGCTTATATTTAATAACACGTCTCTTTAAATACTTCAAGGCATTGGATATCATACTGCGCTGGGTTTAGCATCGAGAGGATGCAGAGTTATAATAGCTAGCAGAAGTTGCAGCGTGGATGTTAAGAATAATATAATTCAACATACGAACAATCCGAATGTGGTGATTAAAAACTTCGATTTGGGTTCACTAGCGTCGATCCGGCGTTTTGCTCAACAACTGAACGAGGAAGAAGAAAAAATCGACATCTTGATTAACAATTCGGGCTCTGGCGGTTTCGGCAATAAATTCACCGAGGATGGCCTTCATCTAGGCATGCAGGTCAACCACTTTGGACCATTCCTATTGACGCATCTACTCATAGGTGATTGAGGTACCATTTGCTCTTTGAATCATAATTTTAATTTGCCACATCCGCAGGTTTGCTGAAAAAGTCCGGGTCCGCGAGTATCATCTTTGTTAGTTCCTACTTGAGTTTCTTCAACAACCTGAGCCTGGAGAATCTAAACAACCCGTATTGTTCCGAAGATGAAAGTCTGATCAGCGGTACGTGCGACGCAATGACATACTGCAACAGCAAAGTGTGCAACATCATCATGGCCAATGAATTTGCTGAAAGACTCTCCAAATTTGGAATAGACGTGAACTCACTGAATCCCGGCAACGTCCGCACCCCAATCTTTTTGATATTTTTACAGCAGCATTGTTTACAGTACTTGATCAAGCCATTCTACGATACCTTCGGATTCTTTCTTAAAGTAATATATACATACGACAATGTTTAATTATTCAACAGAATTGGATACAATTACACTGTATGTTTGATTGTTGCAGACGCCGTTCGAAGGGGCCCAAACCACCTTGCATCTCGCCATCTCCAACAAGCTTAAAGGCACCACTGGCAAACACTACTGGGATTGCGTACAGTTCCCGATCATACCGAGTATTATCAAAGATAAGCAGATTTGTTCTAAAATTTGGACAAAGAGTCAGGAATTAGTAAGACTCGCGAGGAAAGAAGAAATCTAGATTTAAGAAAAAATAATTATTTAATTAAATCTGCAATGCGCTGTTTCCTGTTTGTGACTAAATCCAAATTGATACTCAAGTATTAATTCATTATGGCATATGATCTTTTGAATACTATGGAACGCGTAGGTAGCTAGCTTAAGGGCCTGCCTGAGCAGACACATTCTGGTTTTATTTCGGGTTATAAGCATCATAGAGTATTTGAAAATTTTGGAGATCTTAAGGAAATAGTTTATCTGTAAAATACTACTGTAAAATGTATGTTAAATGGTTAATACTTTTTTGTGGTAGCTTTTTGTCATTTTCAGAACGTATAAAACGAAGCTTCTTATCTACAAATTTATTTGTTGCAATTGTTTACGAAAATTCCTTTTTCGGAAATTCTCTGCTTAATTGAGGACGACATTTGGGCTTACTATATTTTTTAAGCTTCCTACTCAACCCCAAAAGGTGTCAGCTTATGTCCCCCTCAGTTAATGGACTGCCCTAATTTGCACAAGTTATTAATAGGATTTTAGCATTTACCAAGATCTTTTTCAATAAAAATAAGACTCTAAATATGAATTGGCACTTATACTAGTTTATTCATTGGGCATTTTATGAACATTCAACGTAATAAGTCAAAAATTGTAAAAAAACGAAACAGCATATAAGAAAAACTAAAATTACAAAAATATTGAAATTACTCACACTCATATTGAAAATATTGGTGACTCACAACCAAATATATCTTTAATTTTGTTGGATTTTTTATTTGTTGTACCGCGAAACGGTAATAAGAATAAGCACCATCTATCACGAATGCAACTAAATTATTTTAACATTTTTTATGTTTTTATCATTTAAGGTATAAAACGGCCGTTTAAGGTATAAAACGGCCGTGGCAAAAATGATAAAAACATAAAAAATGTTAAAATAATTTAGTTGCATTCGTGATAGATGGTGCTTATTCTATTATTATGGTGCTAAATAACTACTCTCTCTATAAAAATAATTGTCATTTGAGACAAACAAGTTGTTTGACATTTGAAACATTGATTAAAATATTGTTTTATTGTCATGACAACCCATGACAATAAAACTGATCTGACAGCTTAACTGCAATTTATTTTTGTACTTCCGTATTTTATATGAAAGTTTTAAACAATAGATTTTCCATAAATGTGCACCATTTTATATAGAAATTTATGAAAGGCTGTAGCCTGCCCATATCAGTCTTCTATAAATCAATAAACATATAGATCAGCGGTCCCAAAACTTTTTCTGTTTGCTATGCCCTTAATGTATCAGAATTTATCGCGGTGCACAGTTTGGAAACCGCTAATATAGAACATTATAAAAAAAGGAAATTAAATTAGAAATATAAATATTTTAATTATTTTTGTTTGATATATTGATAAAAATGACTGTTGAGTCCAAAATTTTTCCAAGTCCTGCGTTATACCATGATACAATTATTATTGTTTATTATTCCACAATTTATTGAAATTAGTCAATTAATATTTTTTTTTATAAAATCTAGATTTTCTCTTCGGGCGTGAGTTTCACCAATTCCTCACTTTTCGTCCAGATTTTTGAAGAAATCTGCTTATCCTTGACAACGCCCGGTAGGAACGGGAACTGTACGCAATCCCAGTAGTGTTTGCCGGTGGTGCCCTTAAGCTTATTGGAGATGGCGAGACGCAAAGTGGTTTGGGCTCCTTCGAACGGCGTCTGCGATAATCAAACGTGCAGTATACCTGAATAGAATATTGTCGTATAATTACCTTAAAGAAAAAGCCGAGGGTGGCGTAGAATGCCTTGATGAAAGACTTCGAATGATGAGGATTGAAGGCGAGTGAGAAGATTTGAGTGTGAACGTTGCCGGGATGAAGCGAGTTCACGTCGATTCCGAACTTGGAGAGTCTTTCCGCGAATCCATTGGCCACGATGATGTTGCACGCTTTGCTGTTGGAGTACGTCAAGGCGTCGCTCTTGCTGCTGGTCAAACTTTGATCTTTGGAACAGTACGGGTTGTTCAGATTTTCAAGACTCAGATTGTTGAAGAAACTCAAGTAGGAACTGTGGAAGATGACTCGGGCGGACTCGGACTTTTTCAGCAAACCTGCAGATGAGACAAATTAACATTATGATTCAAAGAGCATATAGTGCCTCAATCACCGATTAGTAGATGCGTCAATAGGAATGGCCCAAAGTGGTTGATCTGCATGCCAAGATGAAGGCCATCCTCGGTGAATTTGTTGCCGAAACCGCTTGAGCCCGAATTGTTAATCAGGATGTCGATCTTCTCTTCCTCCTCGTTCAATTCTTGAGCAAAGCGCCGGATCGACGCCAGCGAACCCAAATCAAAGTTTTTGATCACCACATTCGGATTGTTTGTATGTTGAATTATCTGATTCTTAACATCCTCGCTGCAACTTCTGCTAGCTATTATAACTCTGCATCCTCTCGCTGCTAAACCCAGCGCCGTATGATATCCAATGCCTTGAAGTATTTAAAGACACGTGTTATTAAATAGTAGCATATCGGATGTATCCATTTACCTGAATTGCCGCCAGTGACTAAAGCAGTTTTACCGATGAGACTCGCATTGCTTTTGCATATACCATTGGTCAGTTTGAAGCATATCTTCACCAGAATTATTATGAGAATCAACTCGTAGAAAAACATGTTCGTTGTATATGCAATTGATACGAATTGAGGAGGTTCTTACTCTGCTATTGATAAAACGAACTTGAGATAAACATTTTTTTATTAGACGATAAGCATTCATCAGACCCACTTTTTAAGTGTATCAATCATGCAAATCAAATAATTGTATTGTATTTTACGCTTGGACGTATGATTTATACTCCATATTTCTTTATAGATTTCTTCCACCACTTGATTATTTTCACCAAATATGGAAAATTTCAGAATCACATTTTGACTGATGCGCGAACTTTATCCAGTTTGAAGCATATTTTCACCAGAATTATTATAAAAATTTCGTGCTACTGATAAAACGAAGTTTATCTTAAACTATTTTTAAAACAAGTTTTATTAGACGATAAGTATTTATAAGAATCGTTTTGTATTAATTCATTCATTGAGTTAATTAAATTTAATTTGTGTCATACAAAACTTGTATATTAACTATGAACTGCGTACTATTAACTTTTCTTGTTACACTAACTGTTGACAGCTCGAAAAACTATTGTTCTATCCCGCATACTGATGTAGAAACGGTATGTCGCAAATTTTCGTTCCATATTTCTTTAGTTGAGTATTTTCACCAAATATGGGAAATTTCTAGATGCACATTTTGGCTAATGCGCGAACTTGTCCTTGTTTTAGCAACTATAAGTGCAAAAAAAAACGAAAATACCGATATTATAATCAAAATATAAATAAAATCGCTCAACTCCACTTTCCTTGGGCTCCAGAGTAAAATTCTCGTTTATATTTGAACTGCCCTCGTATAATAAATTACAAAAATCCCGACAACCATAAATCCCGTCAATATCTATGCAATAAGATTTCGTAAATACATAGTTTGTTTTTTTTTTCTCTATTAACAATAACAATTATAATAATTAGACACAACAAACTCTCATTTTCAAAGAGTTTCAAGTCATAAATATTATAGTAGATGGTGAATACGATCTGAGAGGAATTTCAAAATAAATAAAACTTTAATTTATATATTATATAAGTGGTTCTTGAAATTTTTGAGTTCGAGTTGTCTATTGGAGGTCTATAAAATAATAAGCAACTTTTTATTTGATGAGTGATCAAAAAAAAAATATTTTCAATGGGATCTATATAGAATAAAAATTAATGCAGAAGTAATTGTGTGTGAAGAAAGTTAATATTTTCTGGTCAGCAACGAGTTTTTTTTGTTGAGAAACACTGCAATAAATTATAGTTGCTTATTATTATAGTTAAAATTCTGTTATAAAGTGTTCTTGCAACAAAAAAAAATAGAGAAGTTGTGTCGCATTGCGTAAATTCAAAATACTTCTAACGCAACAAAATGTACGAAGGTTACTGCAATCGTGTGCGCTAGTACATAATAATTACTCGAAGGATTTTTAACGAGTGGACTAGATAAACATTATTATTTACTGCACGAAGTAAATTGTTGTGTTTTTATATATTTTTACATGATACATTTCTATGTTAATGACAATGAATTTATGCTTGGGACATTACGTAGCCGTTCTCCGGGATCATCTCCTCGCTCCGTAGCTTCACCATCTCTTCGCTTCGCGTCCACAACTTCTTGCCCAAAGTGTCGTCTAGATGGCTCGGATAAAATTTTGTAATCTTAGCGTTCTCGAACCACATGCCGGTAACGTCATTCAGGTCATCTGAGAGGGCGCAGTATATGGAGGTCTGCGCGCCCTGATGCGGCGTCTGCAAAACAAATCGGAATTTAGTAATTGTGATTTGTTTAATTGGGCTTTAATTAATTAATAATACTTTGAAAATGAAACTTATGATGAAGATCAGGAACGGCTTGTACCAATTTGGCACGTTCCTCCATATATCGGTCATGATGCTGCCAGGATGCAAAGCGTTGCAGGTCACCCTCGTACCGCGCAACCTTCTCGCCAACTCTCTGGTAAACAGCACTTCGCACTGTTTCGACGTATAGTACATAGTCAGCTCAGATTTCGTCATGTTCCCAGAAAACGGGTATTCATTGAAGTGCTCCAGGTCCAGCTGCCCGTAGTACGAGAGCAACGAGGACACGTTAACGACGCGCGCGTTCTCCGCCTTCAGCAGCTTTCCTTTAAAAAAATTAATTTTGACTGCATTTTGAAGGGAATTAGAGCTAGGGATGTACCTATAAGGAGATGTGTTAGCAGAAATGGGGCAAAGTAATTGATTTGCATTTGTATCATTATGCCGTCCTTGGTCTTCTTGTTGCCAGTTCCCACCGCGCCCGCATTATTCACCAAGATGTCGAGCTTCTCCTCGGTTCTATTGAACTCCTCGCAGAAAGCGCGCACCGAATCCAAAGAGGCAAAATTCACCAGTCTCACGTGCACGTTTTTATTACCCGTCGCCTCGATAATCTTTTTCTGCGCCTCGTTTGCCTTTTCTTCATTCCTGCAGGCCAGAATCACCCTGCCACCCCGCATCGCAAAATCCAGAGCAGTGTAATAGCCGATTCCTAATAAGGATGCAAAATTTATTATCAAATCAAAATCATATGCAAACCAAAAAAAAATCCTACAAACCCGTATTGGAGCCGGTAACTATGCAAGTTTTCCCTAAAAGACATTTCATGCAATTCGGCCAACGCGTGTAAGTCAGATACAGTCTCGTCACAACTAAGCCCACCGCCAAAATCAAGCACACATACACAAAAATCATCATATCACCCCCTTCAAAAATCAACTCTAAACAAATGAATGCACCTTCAACAAGCTCGGTTATATATGAAATGAGCGCGCCTCGCAAAGTCGATAAGAATTTTGGCGATAGTAAACATTCAGCAATGCTCATGCACCATTCAAGATGAAATAACACTGTTGAAATATTAAGTTGTTTATTAATGGCAAGAGACACAGATTCTCTGTACGCACTCGTTGAAATTCAAAAGTACTCTGAATTGCTCGAAATCCTTTTCTCGATTGTCAGTCTTTTTATCTCTCCTTCCAAATCCGCGATGCGTTGATCTTTAATGCTCACCAGTTTTTCCCAATGATCCAACTGTAATATATAAACAAAATTATTTATTTAAAAAACTTCCGTTCAATTAAAAGATTTATATATAAAAGTTCAATTAAAAAACAAGAATTCCCTGTTTACAAGTAAATTAGAATATTTTTATACGCGGACTGAATTTACGTGGAAAGGAAATATAAAAAAAAACAAGCGAATTTTTTTTATTAATAATGAAAATGAAGTAGAACTTCTAAATATTCCAAGCGATGAATGAGTTTGTGACAATAAAAAATAAGGTTGTTTGTAAATAGCGATAGTGACACCAAATAAAATTTATTCTTGTTTTCTGAAATATTAACATTATTTTATTCAATAAATATGTATTTTCAAAACTTATATTAACTTTTATTTTTATTTTTTTGTACTTACAGACTTTACGTGATTTTCATTAGCGTAAAAAAATCCACGTAAATTCAGGTACGCTTGTAATTATATATCATTTATTTTCAATTTAGGGTTAAACGAATAAAATATAAGTTATGTAACGAAAAAAGAATACAGTTGATTTTATGCAGTTCCTTTAGCATTTGTTTCATTAGAAAAATAAATAATTGTGAAGTCTACATTGAAAAGTATTTGTAAGTAAGTGTGTTGTATACTTTAATTTATTTTTTAAAACTTATGCAGTGTAATACGGAATTTAACATATATAAAAGTAAAAACCATGATAAAGTGTGGTAAGATAAGTATATTTTAAATTTTTAAAATTCCCCCGACTTACGAACAACCCTTTGGAACGGAACTAGTTCGTAAGTCGAGGGAAGTAAGATAATATATTTTTCGACTTACGAACAACCCTTTGGAACGGAACTAGTTTATAATACCTGTTTAGATATTTTGAAATTTTTAAAATTCCCCCGACTTACGAACAACCCTTTGGAACGGAACTAGTTCGTAAGTCGAGGGGAATTTGAGTCAATTTTTTTCAAAACCGTGAGATCAAAACTTGAGTTTCCATTAAATGGTTTTATATTATTATCAATTCCATACTTTCTGACAGATTTGTTTTATTACTTGTAGATAAAGGTTTTAGTCGTTTACGAACAATTTTTTCATATAACTTTACAACTTTCGCTTGAAATACGAGCTTACCGTCATAATTATTTATTTCTCTACAATTTTACAAATTCAAAACTTTACTAGTTATTAATTTTACTGCGCAATTAATTGAAAAATAGGTTAAATAAATATTCATGTTTTCCGAAAATTAGTTGCTAATGTGGAAATCTTCGTTTGCAAAAAATGGTTACATTATTTTCTTTTCAAAGTGATAATGTCCTAATAAAACATATAGTTATGTTGAGATAAATTGAGATTAAGTTAACTAATACAATGCTCCCCAACCTTTTTATCGACGCGGACCGGTCACCGTTTAAAAATTTTACCGCGGCCTGCTGAGGGAACGACGTGATTTAACATTTTAACTAACTAGAACGTTAAATTAATGAGCTTGTTTCTTTGCAACGAGACGGTTCCATCTGGGGGTTTGTGCGGCCCGGTACAATTTGATCCACATACCGATACCGATCCGAGTACCGGGGGTTGGGGACCACTGAACTAATACGGTTATACGACATACTTTTTAAATATTTGTTATCTTTCAGATATGTTTGGCAATCGCAGTGTTCTTCAACACATGACAAATGCCAAGTTTCATTTTTTTTATGTTATAAACAATTAGGTCGCATACTTTGAGCCTCAATTCGTTGACGATCTGCTCCTTCTCGTCGAGACTCTTCAGCATGTCGTTGAAGATATCCGCAGGCACGATTTTCTGATCGGAAACCTTCGAGCCCTGCTTCATCTTGATAGGCAAAACGTTCCCTGCGCAACCTATTCAATTAATTTCGTATTTTGCTTTGAATCACAATTAACTTCACCTGAACCGGCATCATCTATTCCCTCAATAACGTACACGCTTTCCTCGTCCTCCTCCTTCTCCCTCTGATATCTCTCGATAATATACTTCACTTGAGACAGGACCTTCTCGACGGCGCCCGGTTCCGCCCTTGCCAACTCCTCCATCGTTCCCTTGCTCAGATTCATCCGCAACTTGCTCAACACCTTCCTCTGCAGAGTGCTCCAGTTGATCAGCTTCTGAGACACCGAGTTCTTCGGCGTGTAGTTATGCAAGTCGACCAATTTAGGAAAATGCATCTTCAGAATTTCCGCCAAAGGAACTGTGCATTCGCGAAATGAGAATCGTTCAATTGGTGAATTTCAAGAGAAGAAGCAAACAAAAATCCCTACCGGCATCTGAGAAATCCCTGCTTATGTTTTTCTTCTGTCGAGATAGCTGGTAACCATCGATCCATTTGTAAATTTCCTCGGACATTGTATGTATAATATATAAATTAAATAAAAATGACAGTGACAAATGAAAATATTTGTTACATTATTTATAAGTAAGAAATAGATTACAATTTTACTAAAATAACTGAAATACAAATACCTGATGTATAATAAAATGAATATTTTAAAACTCTAATTTTTTTTCTATATCAAATCTTTTTCTTCGCTCTTATTAATAGTTTTATAGTTGTGATGTAATTTTCATATAAAATAAATTATAAATAAATATTTATTTTTATACTGTCGTCATTTTGTGTAAATTCACATATTTTTCCTATCGTTATTTAATATCTACACTCTCTGTGGGAAACTACACAGTTTGGGAAAACTGTACTAACAATTAACCCAATTTGGGTTGAGCTTAATTTTTACGAAAGTGGCCCTTTGATTGAACGGGGCCCAGTTCTGCAGCCTATAAAGATCATGCCTAAATCCGGGACTGAGTTCTCGGTAAGAAATAGTAAATCAGGTAGATATTTAGTGTTAAAATTAATATTAAATATTCAAAATTGGGGAAAAAAACTGATATAGAATCAGTATGCGATAAATACTAACTTTGACAACCTGTAAGGAAAACCTTTATAACGTTAACTATCTGAATGTTACCTCCAGTTGTACCTATTTCTTAAGGGTTTCCTTAAAAATACATATATACAATATTTACCTTGAAATATTCCAAGATTTAAACACGTGTATTTTAATAGAAACATATCATTCTCTATTAAAAATGTTTTAAATATATACAAAGTGGACTTGGTAACTAATAATTACTATAATAATAAATAATAATTAAGTTTAAAATGTAATGCAGGAAAACAATTATAAAAAGGTATACATATATCTAGTAAATACTTCCTTTAACTAAATTGCAATTATACAATTATATATAAAAAATATGGAATTTAATGAGAACGTTTAGTTTAGTTTAGCAAAAATATAAAAGCTGGGAGATAATTGCATTCAGTAATTTGAGAAAAATAATTTGGACCCTGTGCACAGATATTGTTAAATATTACAATAGATCGATGGTAAGAGAGAAACTTCAAATATAATCAATTAAAAGCTAATAAAACTAAGGTGAAATGCGATGCACACGGGTCCACGAGCCAAGGTAACCCATAGAATGCAGAACAAGGTGTTTTTAATTATCGATAAGATAAAATATTTTCCAGTGGTTATAATTTCAATTCTGTGGAATCCTCAGATTCTAACGTGTCTGGGGCCCACAATTAAAAATCAAAGCTTTTCTCGCACACGGGCGAAGTCTTTTTGTAACAAATTATCTATACTTTCTACATGAACTTGCTCATACGAATAAAAACAAGTGAAATAAAACTTTTCAAAAATAAAATTTTAATTGCACAACATAATTTGTATGCAATATGTGAATAAAAAGAACCTGACTTATATGTAAAGAAAACAAGTTTTTTTTAAGTCGGTGAACCTTGTATATTTGTATAATGGCTCGAGCCTGTTATGCTATGCCTCCCCAATTATGCTAATATTTTATTGCTATATGGTTCCATGAAGAAACCGAACTGTAACCGAACAGAGCAATGCTGTATTATGCAACTCATAATACACCATTCGGTTAAAAGTAACTAAACATTGCAAAACAAAATGAAACGTTAAGTTTTAAGCAAAAATAAAACATCTCTTAATATTTAAGACATGCAGTATAAGTTAAGATTATATTATCTACAAAAAGAGAAACTACTTTAAATAATGAAAGAAAACAATAATTTTGTAAATAAAAAAGTGCATATATTTTACGACAAATACAAATATTGTAAAGATTTGGAATTGTATTTCATTTTATGGAGTTGCAGGGATGCAACATTTAAATTTGTAAATATAACCTAAAATATTAGCGAAATTACAATAAATAGCGAGCAGTGGCGAGGTTCCATATAATCGTCTGAATTTTTTTAAAGTGAAAAACATAAGCCATGGCGACGGTGTGCCAGACGTGCGGCACATCCGTATTTCGAATTTTTGAGGGTAAGTCGATTTGTTCGGTGTGCAACACTGAAGTCGAGGACTTCGTTAGCAGAGAGAATGAGATAGAGAGTGAAACCAGAGCAAGGAAGATTGCTTCTGGAACAACTAATGAGAACAGGTTCACTTCATGGGAATTCTATAATAGAATCATGCTGGGTTTGACGAATGAACTAATTATCTTGGGGGCTGACACAAAACTGAAAGATGTGATGCAGAGGATCTGGTTCATGTATTTGAAGAAAAAGGAGGTGGTCAGTGAGGATCCTGATGCTCTACCAAAGTTACCTTTTAACTACAAAAATTTGTATGTACATTTCATTATTTGTAATTTAAATATATGTATATTTAATCGCTGCTTTTTGTGTTTAGAGATGCTGAAATTATATATGGTTTAAAGAAGAAGAAGCGCGTTATTGATCATGACAAGCTGCTGCTTAATGAATCGAATGAGGAGGATATAATTAGAGCCAAGAAAAAACGATTTAGGGTGTGTGAGTTTTGATGGTTGATTTAAACAAATTTAATCAAAAATTATGTTTCTTCTAAATTAGAAATTAGCTGTGAACGAGGCGTTTAACGAGTCGCAACGTGATGAAGTTGACTGGTCTATGATGAATCAAACCATAGCTGATTTGAGAACAGATGAGGATAAGATTCCTATGCAGGTGAATCAGGTGGATTATGACATGCTGCTGGAGCATATGACTAAGGATCATTTGGAAGAACATCTGGAGGATTTAGACAATAAAATGACGTGTCACAATTTGAAACTTAAGGATATTCAATCTTGCAAGAGATTTCTCAAAAGTCATCTCAGCAAGAACATACTCTATCAGTTGCTGTACATCGGCTTGATGATAGTGAAGAGCGACATCCAATGCGGAGATATGTTGAGGTTCATCGTTAATGGCCATATGAGCTACAACAATATTGGGCATCTGCTAACTGAGGAGATGGTCACCTCTCAGAAGAACTACAGGTGGCTGAGGGACACCACTCCTGTAAAAAGAGAATTTTTGACTAAATGCTGGGCGTTGGTTGATTACATAAAGGTAAGAGAGTATATACCAATACAAAATTTACCTGCTCTATGCAAGAGGTATTGCAAGGAATTGAATTTACCTAGTAAGTAGTTTAATTTCTTATATACTCCTTAATATAATAAAATATAACATATTTTAGACGAGATTCAGCGCATGGCTTTGAATCTAATGGCGGAGAGTCGGCCAAGATTTAATGGGAATTCCAAGGATTACGAGGCTCGGGCGATGTGCTTCATCGTATTCACGCTGAAGATGCTGTTTTCCTTTGACTCGATTACTGAGTACAAGTTCTCAGAGTTCGCCGATCTGCTGGACGACAAATGCAAGATGTTCAACATCATAAAGTGGCTGGAATTCATCAAGTGTCGCAGAAAGTTGTTGGCGATGTACCATTTACCGACGCAACTCGCCAAATCTACAGACGACATTAATCATAACAATTTAATAGAAATGTTAGAGTCTTGTCCGCCGGTAAAGGCTAATACCACCAAGACCTGGGAGCAATCGAAAATGTTGAGTATCATAGAAACTTTGAAGTCGCAAATTAACAGAAAGCGTCGGTCCCCAAAGTTCGAGCCCACGTTGACCCCTCTGCAACACTACACCGAGCAAATTTTGGATACGGGGAACGTGGACGAGACGTACCTGCTGAACGTGCTCCAACAGGATTTCACTTGGTTTAGCTTGGATTACCTCACTAACACAGAGAAGTACGCTAAGGTGAAATTGAATATGCGAAACGCGAACGACAACATCGAGTTCGTACCAATCCTAGTGAAGAGGGTGCCACCTACTAGGGCTACCGTTGATTGTATGATAGTGGACGGGGAGACTCCACAAGGACAGGATTTCCGATTCCTAAATAAGAAACCGTTGGTAGCGAAAATCAAGAAAAATAGGTCGGCGTATTACATGCCGGAGATGGACAAGATGATTGGGAAGGATGCAGAGAGTTTTCCGAGCTATAAGGAGCATTACGCTCCTGAAAAGAGGTTCTGGTTATTGTTGGGGCATAAGATAGACCAGAAGGAATCGCTTGCCGAAGAGTATTTCAAGAACCTACCTTATAACTTCCGCACAATCCTTGAAGAATGTGCCAGCATGCTGCAGACTACACTATCCAATTTCTGCCAGGAGTACGTGTACTTTGAATCTTACATATGTTACTCCTTCAAACCAGAACGCACGAAAATCTTGACCACGCATGGCAATAAATTACATTTCAACACCACCAATCAACACGCCCGAGACTATTGGTAGAATGATAATGAAATAACTTCAACTTTTGTAAGTATTTTTTATATAAATTTATAAACTTTTAAAGTTAACGTGATATTTTAAAAACATAAAAAAGAAATACTAAATTTACGAATTTAATTTTTACCTTCTCCGAATCCTACCGCCACTACTCAATTGATCCAATGCATTATGTAAGATACAACTAAAACTACACATTAAACTATAAGAACTTACCAATTATACCACTAAACGCGGTTTCCAAGGCAATAATCGTAAATACATATCACGATTTAAATCTATCTAGAATCAATAATTTCCAGATTGAAAAAAAGAGGATTTGTTTTATGTTTATTGAAAAGAAAAAGTAAACAATTAGCAAAATAATCTTTGTTTATATATTTTAGTTTTGTCCACGTTTTGTTGTTTTTTTTTTGGAGGGGCGGAGGGAAGATAAAATAATCACCTAAAAAACAGTGACAAGGGGGGGAATGTCAAAAAAGAGAAAATAATAAAAAATAATCGGCGGTTTCTTGACCAATTAACAGACATAACATATCGAAAACTAAGCTAAAACTTGTTTTTCCGGACACATCGCTTGCTCAATTCCCAGAGGAGTAATTATTAACCGAACTTAAGATATCTAAAACAAGGAGATAATAAAGAGAGAAAAATAATAAAAGTATAAAGGAAAATCAATTACAATTTATCTAAACTTAATCACTAAGTCTCTGCGTGTGTGTGTTGTTTCTTCTTTGATCGAAATCTCACTCGACGACTGAACATCCAATTAGATAAATCACGAAACTCAATAATTAAAAGAAAAACGAAATAAGCTTTATCGATATTTAAGAGATTTCCGTGTATTATTAAAAGTAGAAATTTAGAGAGGCGATGAGAAATTATTTCTGTTATTATTATTATCATTACATTATTAATATTCTTTTTTTTTTGTTTGTTTAAATATAGTATATAATATATATAAGCCACAAGCTTCGTTTCTTCTCGAGTTTTTTTTTTGTTGTTTTTCCTTTTGTTTTACAATAATTATTATATATAATAGGTAATAAGTAAAGTAATATACAAGGACCTGAAACGATAGTTAGGTTGACACAAACTGAAAATAGTAATAATTATTAAATATCTATATGAGAACACAATGTACAAAGAAGACAAACCTCACATGGCACTTTAAGGCTTTTTTTCTCTCTTGTTTCTCAACGAGATGGGCGCATCCAGCAATGTTTTTTTTACATATCGTCCATATTCAGTAAAACTAAATAAATAGTAGCCTTTTAAAAAAATTAAATCTATTAATCCTTAACGCGAGTACATTTTAAGTTGATTTTAATCGTGGCGCGAGGCGAACATCACTCAAATCGATAAAATTAAAATCGTCGCACCAATCACACCCAACTGCTGATTAAATATATATGTAAATATTTGAAAACACTGGTTTTGACAAAGAAACTAAAACACCCTGTATGTATGTTAAAAGAAATTCGGCGGTTGCGTTTTTTTTTTAATTTTCTTTTTTAGTTGCTAATTTGTATTTCGGAAAACGATTTTACTAGTTATTTACATTTTGTACACGAAATAAACGGATGTACGCGAGATTCAAGTAAGACAAGCGTGCGATTCTTCAATGCTTACAAAATAAAACAGCGATCGCGCGTTTAAATCCGAGTACAATATTATTACATGAAATCGCGTTTACTTGTTCCTTCTTTCAACATTCATATACATACACATATATAGCAATACAATAACTCATGTCATAAAAGGAATTGTTTTTATCTTCGCAATATCACAGAATTCAAAACAATTAAAAACGAGAAAGAAAAAAAAGACAAAATATATACGAAACTATTTGCTAGCAGAGGTGGGAAATAAAGACACATAGAATTATGTAATTATAATAATAATCAATACTAAAAAAATAATAATAATAAGTAGTAATAAAAATAAAGATAATTAAATGGTATATTTACAATAAATAATAAATTTACCAGAAAATGAATTAATTTTTTGCTTGCTTGACCGTTTTCGTTTATTTTTTTAAGATATATGTATATTGTTTGTTTAGTTCACTTTTTATTGTTCTGTCGAGTTTCTTAAATCTGCTTAATTTTAATAATAATAATATATGTTTTGTATAAATACTCTCCAAATCTTCCATGTTTTGTTAATATTTTTTTAATCTTTCTGTTGACGAAAGTATCATTAAATTTTTCATTTTTATGGCGATTTAAACAATCAAACTGAATATGAGACGACGACGAGGGTTTGGATGTACATATTGTATATATATATATATTTATATAATATTATAGGTTGTTCTTTAGCTTCTTCTCGCGTGTTTTTTTTCGAATGGTATTTGCTGTTGTTTTTAGTTGAAGATTCTCTCAAAATGCGTGTGATTTTAACGTTCGTTTGAAATTTATTAATTTATCATATTATTATCATCAATTAAACCCTAATTTTATTATGTACGCTAGAACTTATCTTGAAATAGGAATAAGTTATTGGTGGCCGCGACGGCGATTATGTTCTCTGTGGGATGCCAAGCGGTGTGCAAGATCTTCTTGTTGAAATCTAAACTGTCCACACTGATCTCGTCCTTTTTCCGCTTGCCACTGGCGCACACCTTGCGCGGCTTAAGGATCGTCTTCGGCTTGGCGATGTCGCGCGATGCCTCCAACGTCACCTCACGCTTGGTGCTCCTGTCGAACATCCGGAAGAAGTTGTTGTACGACCCCGTCATTATCGCCGTGTCGTTCCCATTCCAGCAGCACTCGAACTTGTCGAAGATGCAGTCGTTCTCATACAGCGAGCACAGCTTCGACCTCAAGTATTCGTGCACCTATTGACAATACATGGTAAAATCAAGTAAAGAAAATGCAATGCGTAATTATCATTAGGTGTATTAAATTTTCATTTGTCAACTATAATTACCAAATATGTTTCTAGCGGTTTCTTCTCCATGTGCAAGTCCCAGACTTTGACGGACATATAGTCCCTAGAGATGATGTAGCGGCCGGAATTAGATAGTTTCACATCGGAAATACTGGAGATTATTTCCGAGAAGAAACTACGATTCGTAGGGTCCTCGGGTTCCTCGAATAACTTGGCGTGACGATCACAGAGAGCAGAGGCGCGCATGTCGCACAGACGAATGGTGCCTTTACTACTACTGTAAACGAAGAGGTTGCACTCGACCGGATGGAATTCTGCGGCGGTAATGACCTCGGTAAGCTCCTCCATGTTGGTGGGCTTGATGTCGACGATGTTGAAGCTCTGATCGGTGATCTCCAGGTTCCAGAGGTTGATCCGAAGATCGTCGGCGGACAGATAGGTTTCCTGATCGGAGTTGACCGATATCGAGTTGATGTGGTAAGTGTGCGCGTTTGCGAATATCCGCCGCGGTGACGCCTCCACCGTCAGCTCCATGGGCTTGATGGTGGGCACGCGGAGGGAGTGCACACTCGATGGGTCGATGATCACGCCGTTCTCCGACTTGGTGTTATAACCCTCCACCTTCTTGTCGCGCTCCGAAACCTTCCATAACTTTATCGTCTTGTCGTTGGTGGAAAGCAGGAAGTGCGACTGGTTCTTCCGTTTCAACCATCGGATCTTGTTGATCTTCTCCTCGATCTCCAAGCTCTTAAGGTAGTCGAACTCGGGCTCGTGCGACTGGAACGTCGAATAGACATTGTACTCGCCGCGCCGCGGCAGCACAGTCTTCGACAGTCTATCTCTCTGGAAGATGACCACCCTGCCACCCTTGTCTCCCGTCGCCAGCAGCTCTCCATCGTGGTTGAACTCGACGCACGATATTATGTCCGCCTCCGTCACATCATCGTCTAGCGTCCCCTTCACTTGCGAAAAGCACCATTGAACATCTCCATTACCTACAACAACGATAAATAAACAAATCAATACACATAAACATCATTATTGGCATCAAATTATCGCGTTTGATGAAAAAAAAAACAACGATAAACAAACAAATAAACATAAATGTGTATTTTTCAGTAAGCAAAAATCAAGTTACACATGATACATATGACCGTGACACAGAAACAATTGATACACATACAAATACTTTCTTATTCAAATGAAGAAGCATATCAATTAGAAATCAAGTCCGTGTGGATTAGTTCAAATCGCGACGCACCCAAAACTTGTTCATTAACTTATTTGCAAATTCAGATGCGCGCAGCGAAACAATCAGTTTTTACCACTCATCCGGAGATAAGAAAAGGCACGTCAGACATGCCCATATATTTTGTAGATGCGCAATTATATTTGGTTTTACAGCTGCCATCATGGATTTTCTTGAGATAGCTTACTAACCTGTCTGTCAAACTAGCTAAAACTAAAACTAGATGCACCCATAATTAAGTCCATGGTCTTAAAACCACAATTTTTTACTGTTGAGCAATTGAGATTCTGTAAAAATACTCTCTCGGTGAACGCCAGAGATAATGTTTTCAATGTACGCCACATGGAATTCCACTCGAGCATCATAATATTCGTTATGCAAACGGACGGAGCTCGGGTACACATTATTTCTAATTATAAATCGACTGTTTTGGAAAACGCTAGGTGTGTGTGTGCGCGCAATTGTTTTTGAAACAAAAATCATTCATGACGCCGCCCACTGCAACAATATTTTATCTTTGAACAAATAATTGAAGGTAATATTTGCTGACGCACCCTTGCATTTCCAATTAAATTTTATTCTTAATTTGTTAAAGAGATAATTGCATTTAGTATAATGGACTGGAATTGAATAACTTGAGTGGTACTATTTCATTTGTATTATCCTGTGCATATTTAAGAGCAACAGAAAGGTGCTTCCTATGTGTCAGAAGTAGGGCAAAAGTGTGGCAAAGGTCAATCGATTATTGATGATCTTTAAATTTGTTGGCTTTGGAAGTTGTGAAAAATTGTATGGAATGCGAAGTATAGAATAATCAGGTTAAATACAGATGGAAGTATGTGTGTTACAGTTCTATGGGTGACTGCTCGATGATTTGAATAACAATAATGTAAACAAGCCAATAGTGTCAGGACTCTCATTGGGAGAGGTCACAGCCACCTCTGGCAAAGATGTTTATCATTGCCTCAATGGTAATTATAGATTCCAGGAACAAATTTGAAGCAAAACTATTATTGGAGGGATTGAGTGCAACAAAAAAAACTTTTTAGGTTATGTGCAATAAAATTGTGCACTGTTAATAGTCAGTGGTTGCAGGGGGAGGAATAGTTTCATGTTGTTTTCGATACGCGACGTTTATCCCCACAAATCGAGTATATAATGGAGGGACAGCAAAAAAACAGAAGACGCACGTCTGAAAGCCCAGGCCGTTGCGATTTTTTTTTAAATTTGATATTTTGTTCCATCGAACAACATACATGTGTATGTATATATCTAAATATTGCTGCATGCATATGTGTGTGTCTGTCTATATATATATACATATATGTGTACAAGCACGCGCGCCGGTGTTTCTCGCATTTTCCGGCGGAAGTACCGGCGCGCGTTTTTCCCCCATTTTCCGGTTGCAAAACGCTTGCAGATTTACGTGCAACGCACATTAACAAAATAGCGGTCACGTTTTACCTTCCATATTATTATTTTTTGCAAATGTTCGGTCCCCGTTCGAAACTAGTCACATATCACAGCATCGGGGTCATGGATGACCACTTACCGGCCATGATGGCACTCTACTACCACTACTATACTCTACACACACACACAGAGATCCCGCACACATACACACACGGATGCATGTACATGCATACACATACGCACGTACGTATGCACGCACACACGGGCAGAGGCACCAACAACACGGACGCACTCAGCACGCGAGGGCCGCGGGACTTTTAAATGAAGGGATTGCTCGATCTCTGTCTCCAACAGCACCAGCAACGAATGGACAGCGACCCCCGCTTGTACAACTATCCCTTAGCTATTAAAAAACACTGCCTTTGCTACTGCGTCAGTTATCCCTTCCGACACTCGCGAAATCTCTTTACCATTAAGTGGCCATCTGACGTCAAGCGATTACCAACCGAACGCCATGTTACCGCTGCTCTGCGACCATCTCTGTCGCACCCATTAACCAGCGGATCGTCTCCTCTCCGTTCTTTTGCAAAATCATGGTGCGCGCATTCCACCGCCGACGGCAGCGCCGCATCTGTCATTTAAGTCATTCTAACGTCATTTCATGTACCTAGGGTTGCCTAGGCACTTACCAATCGTACTCAATTGCAAAGCAAAATCTATCAACCTTTTAGATTGTACCATACCTTACTCGATCTAAACTAACAATAATTAGAAAGGAATAATTAAATTCCTTGTTAAAAGCAAAGTACCAAAATAATTTCAAATCTACCGCCAAAAACTACTGTTATTCAGATTAAAATGATGATCTTTGTCGCCGAAATTTCAAGAACAAAAAAAACAAAGAATTTAACCACAAAAGAAACAATACTTTTAATGCTAACTATGGTTGCATACTAATTAAGATCCTTTTAATCTTTAATCTTAGATACTGAAATTCCAAGAATTAAAGAATCCAAATACCAACCAAGAAATTCTTTAGATGTAAATAATGGCATTCCTAACACAACCTCAACATATTTGTTTTATATAATTCCTTGAAACAGTTTCATTGTGTTATTAAAAACAAAATCTGATAATTATATTCAATTGTGCCAATTTGACAAAAGTTAAGTATATCACAATAGGTGAAAGCTGTACATGTATATCTTCTAGATGAAGATATGTACATTCTACATCTTCTTTGAACCTACTAAAATTTACTACTCAGTAATCAATATTACCATAGCTATCTAGTATACAAGTTTTAATTATATATGAGATAATTGCATATCTCGAGTGCTTATCTTATTTTAAAAGAAATTCCACAATATATTTGTTATATTTTTGTATATTTATAAATTATATCCTTCTGAGAAATAGCCAATAAATAGATTAAAAGAAAAATAAAACAATTTTCTCAATATTTTTATTATTGAAATTGATGAATTTTCTATTTATTAAGTTAAAACTCTAGTGGAGATAAAAAGGTAAACTTTTATACTACTAATATCTCTGCTAATTTGAAAAAAAAAGAAGAAATATAATCTTAGAGATGCATACATATGCTATTAAATTAATAAAAGTGATTATTAAAGTTTCTATTTGAAATTTACATCATCATTTACATTTAACTATGATTGTGATGGTTGCAAACATCAAAATATTTGGTATGACTGCTTGCATATATCAAAACAACTCTTGCAAATAAATCTATACATCACAAAATCCGAAATATATCGAAACTCAGTCTATACATAAAAGAAACCAAAGGAGTTGAGGATCATTGTTTGGTGGCAGAACATAAAAATATTCAATTTTTGAAAAGCACAAACTGGCAATCAGGCGGCATGTGTATAAATGTTTCAGTTTTCGCCCAAATTTTGTTTTTAGTAGACTTTACGAAATGTATATGTAGATATAATGATATTTGAATTTCGTCGGAAAACTATAAATTAAATAATTCGAGTTCCCGACCCAAAATACATTTTTTTATGATTACTATATTTTATGAATATTTTCTTTTAAATTATGACATATGTTTTTATATTATAAATTATCAAATATGTGTAACGTCCAGCGATTATAAATATTTCAGTTTTCGAATAGCTTTTAGTATGTGTTTTACTGAATTTGAGTCTCTGTTGGGAAACTATAACTGAAATAAACGCCTTACTTTTGTCACCATTACAATGCTATATTTTATGAATATTAATTGTTAATTGTGTCATTTGTTACATATTAAGCATGTATAAATATTTCAGTTTTCAAACAAATTCAGGAATAGCTTTTAAGATCTGAATTTACGGCACGAAAAAGATTTTTTTTAGAACTTTTACAAGCCTACTTAATAGTATATTATGGCATATGTTTGTTGATTATCAATCTATAAGTAACTGGGTTCAAAATATAAAACGGAAACATCTCGCATCTAGCGATGCAAAATTTTCGGAACTTTCCTTTCCTCAGTCGTCACAGTACCGGAATTTATAGTTTAATACATTCAGATGAGCGTTCTTCATTTTAACGACTCCGAAGTTGCGATTCGCCCGTAAAGTATTTACAAAACACTTCTGCACATACGCGCACGAATCCGAGTGAAAATCACAGATTGAAATAGACTGGATTTACGTAAACCAGTAAAAAAGAAACAACAGCGAATAAACAGAAACATTAGAATGGCTATAAATCACGGATTTGTTATTGTGAACAAAAAACAAATTAGATCGATTTCCGAAACCCGCGAAGTTGTCGTCAACTTGATTTGCAAGTATATATTATACACATTCAACAAATAATATCGTTTTGGATACGTTTATTGTGTAAATTTTCGATTTACGACATTTCGCACTTACGACAAAAAAAAAAACAAAAATAATAGCTATTAGTTTTAATATACACGTATCTATATTTTTTCTTGCATGAATTTCGACTTACGTCCATATGAACGTAACGAAAGCAAAGAATGAACTGCATTTGATTACGTGTTCGTGTGCTGTTGACCTGTCTTTGTTGACCGTCATCATCAGATTGTGGCGAAAACGGGGAGGGGGGTTGGTGGTTTGATTCAACCCTAATTGAAATAAATACCTGTCTGCGTTCGCTTGTTTCCGCTGACGGCGTGATTTATGAATCCGCCTAGCTTTCCGAGCCCCGTGTGACGCATGGTCGGGGGCTCGGGCTTCGCCCCCGCCTTCCTTCCGATTACCGGTGAGGCCCATAGGCCGATCACACCGCCGTTCCTGATTTTGGTACCCACTTTACCACCTTCAGAACCGGAAACCTGCAAAAAAAAAAATAATAATAAACGTTAGAGCGAAACAGGAAATATGTGTGTTTGTAATAGGTCTTTCCGCAAGAGAATTGCGCAGACATCAATTTAAAAGCCTCCTACACTGCTTAGCAATCATCATCTAACAATTCCATTAAATTCAAACGAAACCACGCTAACATTATTGCCGCAACAAATGTTTACTGCTCTGTAAAACAACTGATAATGCGTAATATACATATAACGGTATCAACTTCAAATTCCTAAATAGTTGCAATTACTACGCCTTAACCATTCCTTTACCTTCATTACCTCATATCAAGTACACTTAAATTTCTTAGCGACGAGGCAAAAAAAATCCACGCGACATCGATTTCCAGCTCGCATTACGTTTATCCAAGAGATTATCGCGAAGTTTTCAAAGTAAACATATCAATTATTACCTCATCCACACGATTTTTTGTTTGTTCATTCCAAAACCTGATGAGTATTGCGCTTTAATGATGAGCGAGAAAAAATGTAAATATTGCAGCTTTGGTAAATGATTTCATCAGAAAAAAAAAACTTTTTTTTTCGAGCGATTGTCCTTTGATCAAGGATGCAAGAAGGAATCAATGAGTGAACTTGGGCGACGTTCGAAATAGAAACAAACAAAAACAAATGGAGGGAGGTAGATGGACATGGTGAACTTGGTCGGCGATGGAAATAGAATGTATGGGTGGAGGAGGTGAAGAACGACGCGCGGACTATTTCGATGGAAATAGATTCGGAAATGGAAATTTTAAATAGACCAGCTCGTCAGAGACATGTAACTACGCACCGTTAATATTAAAAAATATGTATGTAAAGTGGATGTAATCGAATTGATCTACACCAATGGTGGTGATGATGATCGAGCTAAGAAAATCGATTTAGATTTCTTCGTGCAAATAATTAGAATGTTGTTTTGTAGATCCTCGGCGGTGTGGGGTGTGAGGCAAGGGACAAACAAGCAGGCCAGGAAGGTTGACACAAGCGATTAAAATCGGTGCGTTAATGAGTTTTAAAGGTCATATGTACGCTAACACTTATTGCTGTTGACACACACACACACAAACATAATCACACACTTATGCTCTGCTGAGCAAGTGACAACATCATCAAAGGCTGGATAGCTATAGGCCACTCGATAAGTGTAATAATCTAATAACAAAATAGATTCCGAAACCGAAGCGAAATCAACGCTAATTGATTGCAAGCGGGAGCGGCTAGTGCGCTCTCCGCACATCTAACAAACCATCGATAATCGATTGTCAATTAATTGGTTTCAGTTGCTGTTGCTGCAAAAAAAAAAGATCAATTTGTAGACTTGTTCCATATAACATATCCAAAAGCAATATATTACTGTTTTATTACGAAAGTTAAAAAAACACGTATGACTTTTACAGTACTAATCGATACCCTTGTCTACTCGAATCTAATAGATGGAGACAATTTGCTTGAGTTTGATCGAGAAATATTATACCAAATTATTGGACAAACATTGTTCTTTATAACAAAAGTTAAACTACAAATGACTTGTACAGTACTAAAATCGAGATTAATAGAGAGAAATTGCTTGAGTCTGATCATTGGTCTATTTCGAAGGAAATCTAATAAATACTTGTTTAACAATCAAAAAAATTGGAAAATTGTAGCAAGTAGCACAAGGTTCAGAAAAACGAAACTAAAAATACAAATTAAACAGGACGACTTTATATTCAGAGCTCACTTAAATGTAAATCTTTTTAATTCACGGTAATACGTACATTTATATTTACGATCGTCTGACCGTACTAACTGGTACTAACGTACAAATTTTCATACGAACGTACAATGATGTCAGTTGAGATGACTTGATCAGCAGTCAAATATTGTATAAAATCTTCTCAACACAAAGCATTGGATCCTCCAAATTCAATTCTTCTATAATGTCCAACGAATTTGATTTTCTCACATTTTTTTTACTATTACTTGAACTACAAGTATAACCTTAGATTGATTATTTTTTCTTCATCACTTTAAACATATAAAACTTAATAATAATATTTACCACGTAATAAAGTGAAAATTTGAAAATAAACTTGAGACGTCTAAGACACGTATGTCAAGAGGTTATAAGAATTTATCTATTTGATTGCTATCAAATGATATGTTTGAGAAAAACAATAGATTTCTATAAAGTTGAATTTAAGAAAATCGCGTACTTTCTTGTGAAGAAAACAAGTCTAACGTAATGCAAATACAAATTAATGCATTAACTACAGGAACATAGTTAAATATTCATTGAAAAATGTTGACTCTTTATCTTGTTATTAGTGGTCGATAAGTACTAGTAGGTATGAGAAATAGGACTGTAACGATTACAAAAAAAAATCTTGTCCAAAGTTAAAAAAAATGTAAATTTGACTGCACACAAAAAAAACTTTTAGTAATTTGTTGCAATTTCTTGGTATTTATTATATGTAAGCATTGTATTTTTCAAATCTGAATAGAAAAGTACCCAAAATCTCGGCATCTTCCAATTATGGTCATTGTTTTGTGAAGAAATTAAGAAATGTAATTGAAGAATAAATGTAAATTCTGAAGATAAGTTTACTTCATTACCCAAAAAGCGATAATTTTATAAGTTTATACATTGAAATCTAAATATGTAGATAATATTTGATTAGATGAATTTTTCAATTTCTTGTAATTAATATTTTAAAGGAGAATAAATGATTCTTTTTGCGGTATATTTTCAATTAATATTTCAAAAAGCAATAAAGTTATGGAAACTGCGAATTATTATGAGATAGATGGATGATAGTTTTATTTAATCACTAGTTATAAATGATTTCTAAATGTTCAGAAAAGGTTTGAAAATAAATATCTCAAGTTGGCGTTATTTCGATTCCGATACTCGTGTCCGTTCGGCAGACAGATAATCTCTCGAGTCTACTCTGAAATTGTTCTTTCTGCAGTTTCCTGCAACTGTAGTCCAAAAGAAAAACAAAAAGAAAGAAGCAAGTAGAAAAGAACAAATAGTTTACACCCTGATGTACGGAAAAGTTTCACGCGCTGTTTTCTTGATCGATTGGGAGGGCGCGAGAACGAAGAATCTCCTTTGCGAGACCTAAAAATTCCTTCCAGGAATTTCTCATTACAGCAACTGATAATATGAGGTTGGGGATGGCGGGTGGTGTTTGAGACGGCCTCAGCTTAATCAATATTGGACACAAATTGGCTTAGGAGCCAGAGGTGCGCTAATTTGAGACGGCGAAGACGCGGAGGTGTTGATTAAATGGGATTAAACACGTTTGATCCAATTATGTCCCATACCCATACTTCGCACATGACATACTAAACTAACACCTATCCTCTGTTGCATGGCAAAGCACGCCAGAATAATTTAATTCGATTCGTTTTTGTTAATTTAACGTATGTGTGTGTGCGAGCGTGTATGCACATGTAGGAGTGTGTGTTTGCCTGGTCCGGGTTGATAGCTCGCAGTTGTGGGACGATGATGGACACAACAAAAGAGCTCTCTCAGTCCATTGTGTTTACCCTCCCCGGCTTTATTTTAGGTCCACTTCATCCATACAGCCTTCATCCATCTCGCTTTCTCCCTTTTTCCCTTGCTAAAGATGTTTCTTTATCGCACGCCTTTGAATCCTGGATGCTGCTGCATCGTGCACATGTACAGGAGCACGAGTTATTCTTTAGGTGTAACAATAACAACACAAGAGTTGTCGTCCTTACTCCAATTTCCGAATAGAAGCGCTACGCGAAAGACGGAGACGGCTAGACTGGTTTTGCGAGGGCCGCCTCCACTCCACCGCCAAACCAACTAACATTGACACACTTCGCCGACCGCCGCCTCCTCGTCGCCCTCCGCGAATTACCATCAGATCGTCATAGAGATGATCGCACTATTTATAATCGATATAATTTTCAGTTTTTTCTCTTTTCTTTTCTCCGTTTCGCAAATTAGTGAGATCATCCTAATTGCGCTAACAGCAGGCGGCATTTTTTAGCTGCCGCTGATCCAACAAACGAGCACCGTTGATAATCTCGATAAAATAAAGTGCCTTGCCTCATTAATTACGCTAATTTAATTTAATCGATTTATGCATCTACCATTTTCATCATAAGCTGAACGACAAACGTGACAGATATGTTATGAATTACCTTAGTAACAGACTATTAACTTTACCTCGATTATCACAATAGTTTTTATATTACTTTTGTATTATTAAGTAAATGCTTTAACTTGTTGCTTAGAATCTCGAGGAAAAATTGAGGTTTATAAGTAGCTTGCAATAGACGGTAAATTTATTAGTTGATTCGATTAAGTATACTTTACTCGTCTGCGATGAAGGGGAATATAGGTTTGCTGCTTCAATTACTATGGTTGGAGGATACAATTTAGAAGATTGTGATCCTAAGCTTTAACTTGGGACTGTATCCGAGCATGCTGGCGATGGTGCCGTGCGTAAGGAAGAGACAGTTTAGGCGGAGGGTAATGTCGGCAATGCTCTGGCTCTCGTGCATCGCGTTCACCCCGCAAAGCGTCGTCACGGTCATAACGTCGTGGACGGAAGAGAGCTCAATGGTGCAGTTGTAGAACTGTCCGTTGTTACTGAAGAGCCAGACGACAGCATAAGCATGTTCGGGCCGGTCGTCAGGAGACCCGCTGACCATCACCCAAAACGTGTCCACTTCCTGCTTCCGGTTGAACTTGCGCGCGATCTTGGTGATGCTGCCACCGCTGCAGCCGGAATTGCAATTGCCGTCGTGCAGCCGGATAATTCCCAAGCAGATGGTCTTATCGTGTTCGATGATCGTCGGATTAAAGTTCAGCCGAAGCTCTTTGCCGCGTTCGGCATCAAACCGCTCAAAGTCGCAGTGTTCGTACTTGAAGTGAGTTTGGAAAGAAGATACTGCGATGATCTTGTTGCAGGGATCGTGCGGACACTTAAGAGGTTTCCTGCTCTGCATCGCCTGGATGCCTCCGCCCACGTTCTCAAAGTTGTAGATCGAGCTGCTGTCCCTGTTGCACTTCTTCAACCATATCTTGCTGTTGCTTTTATCCTCCAGCGTGTACACAGTACACACCTCCTCGTCCCTGCGCTCATTCTTTAGGTTCAATTGGCTACGCATGTCCGCCGCCGAATCGAAGTTCATGCCACGAATCCTCTCCTTGGTCGTCTCGTCGAACAGCTGCTGTATTTTGCATGAGGGCAGCTGAAAGAGCTGCTCGACGGTAACCGAATCGTCGACGCCGCCGTTCCTCACCAACTGCTGCCCCCCGTTTAAGCACGTCCTCTCCAGCGTGTACCGATGGGGTCTGCCGATTCCCGGCTTAGTCTTCAGCTTCCTCAGGAAGTCCGGGGAAACGTCGTGCCTGGTGAACTTGTCCGACTCACAGACGCCGCATACCGGCATCCCTCCGGCCACCACCAACCTCTGGAAGCACGGATAGCAGATGGTGTGTCCAAGGTTGCATTTGTATACGGGCGAATCGTCCGGCGTATGCGCGCACACGGTGCAGGTCATCAACGTCAACCAGTGCTCCGAAGATGTGGACGAAGACAGAATCCTCATCGTACTCTCACGGTGCTCGCGTCATCACTCTTTTGGAATTTTGCACACTGAAATTTCGGCCCTCGCGACACTTCACCACCACGTTGACATCTATCACCACCGACGCCGGCATTTGTCACTCACCCAAACCACTCGTCGCCTGCTCCGATAACAACCACCTGCACTGCAATTGTTGAATTTATAGTTACACTTTTGACTACACGAAACAACTTAACAACCATTTATTTACCTAATACATAACATACAGCATACTGAAGTTAAACAGACTTTAACTTCTTCTACTTAGAGATAATTTCGTTAGCCGGAAAAAAATTGTTTTAGTCTTTGAGTGTTATGCTGTTGTCTAATATATTTACTGTTATTATATTTATTAATATACAAATATTGCCTGACCAAAATTATGATAAAATATTCTACGATCTCAACTGAAAAGTTTTCGACTTAAACTTTTAGAAAGTTATCTATCTGATCTACATTTATTTTATACTTAAACCTAATTAGTAATAATTAGAGTAGGAGGAATTATCTATATTTAATGGATACCGGATTTTCATTAAGTAACAGTACACTTTTATAGTTACATCTTTGGATGTAATTACTGAATCCGACTTTTCAATCAGTTTCAACTGTTTGGGCAGCAAAAATACGACACATCTGCTCAAATCCGATGAAAGGAACTCTCCGGTTTTGCGAACTTCAAAGGAAATGACGAAATCAGTCTGTGTAGGGAGGAAATCAAACGTACCAACTTAATGATTTGCAGCGAACGAACGCATCGGATTATCAAAAGGGATTAAGTACTATAGAGGCAAAAGTTTTCAACTAAAATTGCAAATAAACAAAAATCATTATTGTTACAATTAATTTCTTCAGGTTTATTCATATTTATGTTTTGGATACACTCCGTAGCGTTAAACAATTTGATTACACGATCACATTGTCATGCGACCTAAATTGTCGCGAAATCGATACTGCAACTCTATTGTTCATTTTTCAGCCCTATTTATTTATTATAATATGCAATAGCCAAATCACATTACACATTATGAATTCCATTTATAATAGAGTGTTTATTATAAGTAAACTGAGAATTACATTTTATAGAAAAAGTAAGTAAGATTATTAGATGATTATTAGTAATGTACTGTTGGAATATTAATAAATATGATACCGCCGAATGTGAATGTTTCGTGATAAGTTATAAAGACGTCGTCAGATTTATAGATGTTATTTTTAGAAATCGTAAATCTATTTCTATGTATATTAAAGTACAAAGTATATTATTTTATTTTTGCCAAAATATAAATATTCTAGTACAGCGTTTCTCAACCATCAAATTTGTTTATAGTTGTACTGCCACCCAATTGCCAATATGACAGCTGCCATTTCATGACCCATCAAAAAATGTAAGCGACCCATAAGTTGAGAAACGTTGTTCTGGTATACAAGTTTTTTTTAATTAAGAGATACCTTTATTACGTGATTGCGAGTTTTTTATGAATAATTATAGCACTTTTTTTATAACTTATTATATGGTAAAATTGATTGTTTTTGTCTTATAAAGACATAAATTAGCATGTGCTTCAACATCCTTTCTGATAATGTATACTTTTATTAACAAGATTTGTGCACATATAAAGTTAATCGATAAAATTGGTTTTCGGCAAAATATTATTTTCAATTGGAGTAAATCATGAAAACATTGCTAAATGATTTAATTGTATCCGATTTCACTAAACACAAAATTCGAGCAATACATATATTGATTAATCATGTGTGTGTGTGTGTCATATCGATTAATTAGCAAAAAATTTGGTTAACAAATACTTAATCATTTTCTAAAACTACTAACTAAAATGAGGTTGATCTAATTGCAATTAAATTTTAACTTTACATCATCAGTTTCCACCACGTGATCATAATCCATGCAATATTGATAAGATCAAATAAAAAAATTACGGCTTCGCTTTTTGTATTGGAATTGGAGATTGCCTCTAAATATTTTTAGAAAACCGACGATTTGGAACAGTGCCATATGGTTTGCATTTTGTAAAAAAAAAGATCAACAAAAAGATGGTTCTACGTATTCATTCGTCTTGATTTCATGTCAATATTGATATTGTCTGCGAAGATGATGTTATTTCTTTGACGAAATGTTTTAGAATCGCGACGTACGAAAGGAGGATATCCGAACGGAAATATATGTGTGCGATGCTCCACTTTGTGTCTGGCAGACGAAACCGACGTAGATTGAGCAGATATCACAAGTTCAATATGTAATGTACATAGTATGGGTTTTGTGATACATCGTATAAATAGAAAAGCATCGCATTCGCAAAATTTTCGTTTTGCAATAATCTCACTCTCTGTGTCCATCCCGACCTTGACACAATTCCGGCACCCTTTAATGAATGTAATCTGCGCATTTACCTGAATGTTTGGCTCGATGCTCTTCGGGGATGATCCGCTTAATGTTATTTCGCAGCAGCACCACCACCTCTCGCTCTCTATGTGTGTATCTAATTGATCCGTTCGCGAGATATTAAACTCACTCGGTTCATTTCGATTGATTTGATCGACATTCCAAGCTCGCCCTTTAAAAAATTCTTAAAATTCTTTTGTATTATTTTAAATCCTTTTCAAATTTATTTATTTTTAGGGGATTCGTATTTGCACTGGATTGGATGGTGCCTCTTTAAAGGCCCCGATATCAACAGGTTAATGCGAACGCGATGCGGAGTCCGCGGCCGCCGCTTGATTACTACTTCCACTACTTGTTGTCGGTGGGGGCTTTAAGCTCTCTCGCGTTTTTCCTCTTTCTCCTTTTCCGTTTCTTCTCTTTCGACCGCTTGTTGATTTTTTCAATTCGTGTCCTTTTAGTAATCTCCGCTCGCCGGCAGCAGAAATTTCTTATGTACGCAGTCGACGACTTCTTCGGAAAGTCGATACCACTACGACTACTACTATAGTGCTGCTGTTACGGACTGGTCGTCTAGGCGGAAGGAAGGAATTTACGAGTTCGTTTCGATTCCTCCACCGGGAGAACCGCACGGGACGTCGGCCGATATCAATATTGCATTCCGCGGCGCCTCCCCCACCTCACGTCCCCAGCCGTCGCTGCCGCCGCCGCACAAAATCGAATCCACCGACATCCAGCGAACGGAACGCGAAGCTCTTTTCCTTCTACTTTTCAAAGCACTCTTAAAATTACCTTAAATTATTTGCAGCCAATAGGGACGAGAGGGTTGTTCTTTAGAACAACAAAACCCCGCCAACCAATCATTATAATTATGTTTACTTCTTTATATTAATTATTTTAGCTTTATTAGTATTATTGTATCATCAATTATATGCTAATTAAGAGGTTATACCGAATTTGTTCAATTAAAATAGAATTATCTTAATTTCGATTACAAAATCAAAAGAAAACCACGCTCTACTAATCAGTGGTATCATCTTAAAATTGTTGTTCATGACTTAATGAACTAAATAATAAAGTGAAACCTCGCTTAACGAGTTTAATCCTTTAAAAAATTTCCATATTTTTACTCGTATAGTGAAACATATGTTTACACAAGTTTTAATAATATGGTTATACGAAACGTAACTCGTTAAGTGAGTCATTTTTCTTACAATTAATTTAAGCAAAATACTCGTTATAAGAGGTGCTCGTTAAACGAGGTTCCAATGTATTCTAAACATGATCCCTACCATAGATTCAATACCGCGCTTAAAAAAAGACTTTGTTATTATCTTATAATTATAATTTGGCAAAAATAAATTCCTATATAATTATATATAATACATAATTATTAATATATCAGTCTTATCAATTAAAATCCTCCGTCCGCTAAATCTAGTTGTCTGAAATACCTGGCCACCAAGCAGATTGTGAGATTCAGTTCATTCAGAGTCTCCTCATTGTGTCCGGTTGTCAGGTTTGCCCTAATCTTTGAGCATTTTCTGGCCAATTCGCGCAGCTGATGGCATATTTCAGGGAATAAGGGGAGCTCCAGAGTGGCGAGGATGGCGTAGATCCACACGCTCATGTTGTATCCTAAAGTGGAACTTCGCTCTATTTCGTCCAGGATGACCTGCAAGAGTTTTATCTTCGAGGGTTGATTGAACTCGACGATTTCCGTGTAGCGGGGAGTGCGCTCGCGTAACGTAGGTATCCACCTGTCGGTGATGATCTCCACGAACCTGCCGTCGGCGAGATTCTTGGACGCAAGGAATTTCCTGAACTTCTCAAAGTCTTTAACTTTTTCCTCCTGCCACTCCAGAGATGGTATCAACTCGTTTGGGGCTCTGGTGCATTCCTCTCTCTGTAAATATTGTTGTTAATGTAATAACAATACTGTTGTTAGGAAAGTTCACTTACCACTGGCAATGTATAGTTGACATTTTTCTTTTTCCTCTCATCGAGTGGCACCATGACAACCTTTTGGCACATTTTAGTCTCAAACATGACACTCTGCAGATATTCTTCACCTGTGGCAAAATTAATTATTAGATTAAATTACATGTGACAATGGATAAGACTTACCATTTTGTGGGATCTTATTTGGGTCGAAGTCAGCGGGGAGATCCACATGCAGGGCCCTCTTCAACATCCCAGTTTCACAATCGCTGCTATCGCTGTCCATTCTTGACTGTTGAGTTTTTTTGTTTTGCTTTACAATGTCAACAGCGATGACCGAAGTGAGTATGGACCAGGGCACCGTTAAGATTATTGTGAAATGGAGCGGCAAAGAATACGAGTTGACCTTAGGTGAGCAGGAGACTGTCGGTGAACTGAAGAAAGCTATACACAAGGAAACCGGCGTTCGCAGCGATCGTCAAAAGTTACTTAACCTCAAATTGAAAGGTTCGTCAAATAGAAGGAATGGCAATGAGATTTTATTGCAGCAATGAATTTCAGGGAAAAGCCCCGATGATGACTGCCGTCTATCCCACATGAAGCTTAAGCAAGGCTTCAAGTTAATGATGATGGGTTCCTTGGAAGAGGATATTGCTGAGGCCACTACAACCCCCACTTGCCTACCTGAAGTAGTAAATGATCTAGATATTGAAGATGAAGAGGTGTCTGTAGTGAATGAAGATGTCTACCTGGCGAAAATCCAGAAGAGAGTTAAAGAATACAAAATTAAGATGTTAAATGAGCCTAGAGAGAACAAGAAGTTGCTTGTGCTGGATATTGATTACACTTTGTTCGATCACAGGTCTGCGGCTGAGCAGGGTGTTGAACTCATGAGGCCTTACCTACATGAATTCCTCAAATCTGCTTACGAGGATTATGATATAGTCATTTGGTCTGCTACAGGCATGAAGTGGATTGAGGAAAAAATGAAACTGCTTGGAGTTTCCACTCATCCAGACTACAAAATAATCTTCTATCTAGACTCAGCTGCCATGATCTCAGTATTCACCACCAGATACGGAGTAGTCGATGTATTACTCTCATTATTATTATTAATTATAAAATTAATTGTATGTTATTTTTGTAGGTGAAACCGTTAGGCGTGATTTGGGGAAAGTTTGAGCAGTTCACGTCAAAGAACACGATCATGTTCGATGATATCCGAAGAAATTTCATCATGAACCCAAAGAACGGGCTCCGGATAAGGGCCTTCCGTCAGGCTCATCTCAATCGAGAAAACGATAAAGAGTTGCTCTACCTTTCCAGATACCTCAGGGATCTGGCTAAGAACTGCGACGACTTCACCAAAGTTGATCATAGGGATTGGGACAGATATAGACCGAATAGTCTCTGAACTAAGCTTGCTAATTTGAAAGACAACTGCTAAAGAAAAAACATTATAAGAAATATATTAAAAAAAACATATTTTTTTAAGTATAATTAAATAAAATAAAATTTTGCGCTTCCATGGTGTTTGTTTTTTTTATATTAGTATTCTACTAAATTAACGTTTCTCAAACATTTTTTTTTGATAGTCAATTTTTCCGTGTGGAATCAAATATCTGCAATTCTTTTAAATTGTGTTCATACAATTGCCGCTGAACAATTAATGCATTTGTGGATTGTTGTGTATTTTTAGACTTATCGAGCGTTCTGATTCCGAGTAGCGGTGAATCGATAGGTTTTTAGGCGGAAGGTGATTTCCAAATACTAGCCGGAATTGGAATAATGGAAAGCGCGCGATGATTGTGAGCAGAGTGAGCGCTCTATTTGCGCGCATGCCGCAGTTTCATTGATTCCGTGCACCTCTGGTGGCGTGAAAATCTTGTTGTTTATGCAAATCGGTTGTCAGTGAGATAATAAAGGAAGCGCTGTTGTTTGTGAAGGAGGTGTGAAAAGTGTCGGATACAAATTTTTCAGTTTATTCGATTGAAATTGTGCTGGGTTAGTGAGGGGATTCCCTTTAAGGGACGGGCCGCACCATGGAACTGTTTCGGACCGATGAATTCTACATTTTCGTCAAGGATCAACACTCGCTGTGGTGGGACAGACAGACAGGTGCTTTCATCCCTAAAACTGGTAAATATGATATATAGAGACGCTCACAATTATAAGCATACCAACCTACATTGCTTTGTATAGGTTGGGACTTGGCGGATGCAGAGGATCCAACATGCCTAGGGATATGCCATGGTCTGATTGGAAAAGTCGAGCATCCCTCTGTTTTCGATCCCAGGCTGATTGTGATCAAGGAGTGTAGTCCTGTGGGCAAAATTCATGGAGACCATGAAGTCTTCAAGATAAAGTCTATAGCCTTTCTCAATTTGGGTTTGCAGATGATGCAATTTCACATTGTGCTGTTTAATAATACCATTACAATTGCAGGTATGGATAATCCCAATCTGAATTTGCAACAGTGTGCCAAGCATAAGACCATTCCCACCCCCAAGAGGGGCGCAGCCAATCCCTTCATGGATTTGCAGAAAAATGCGGCTTTCACAAAGACTTTAGGCACATTGAAGAGCGCTGGGAATGCTATCAAGTCCACCACACAACAGGCAGCTGCTATGGCCACAGGATCTCCGCTGAAAAAGGACGCGAAAGACAAGGAGAAGTTCGAGAAACAGATTGTCGAGGAGTTCTACAAGATTTTCACCGACACAAACTCTTTCTACTTCTCTCGCACTTGCGATATCACAAGTAGCTTACAGAGGCTTTGCAGTCTTGAGAAGAGCAAGCAGATTGAAGCGAGCGCGTTGTGGAGGACCGTCGATGATCGTTTCTTCTGGAACAAAAATATGTTGAAGCAACTGATTAGTTTGGATGTTAGTATATTAGATATATTTATCGATTTCTTTATTACATTTATGCAACAAAATTTTAGAATAGCCTCTGTGATCCTTGGATTATGCCCATAATACAAGGTTACATTCAGATTGAAGAGTGTAAGGTTGAAGTGGATCAAGACATTAGAGGCGTCAAGACCAGTCCGAAATATGAAATTTTCAAGTTATCTATAGTTTCCAGACGCAGTCGTTTCAGAGCCGGGACCAGGTAACTTATTATTTACTTTATTTTTTTTCAATTGTTTCATTTGTTGGATCATCCGCAGATACAAGAGGAGAGGTGTGGACGATCAGGGCGAGTGCGCCAATTATGTTGAAACGGAACAGCTGATTGCGTATCAACACCACGAAGTGTCGTTCGTGCAGGTTCGCGGATCGGTGCCCGTCTATTGGTCGCAGCCAGGCTACAAGTACCGTCCCCCGCCCCGTATTGATAAAGGTAAACAACCGACGGCAATAAAAGGAAATCGTGAGTTTACATTTATAACATTCCAATATGTGTGGCGCTTAAGCGCGTGGATTCTGCTGATCAGGTGGTGGTAAGATATTACTATGTGCTTTTTTTTACTAGCTTTAAATGTTTCCATCACCATTTACATATACAAGTGGACTACAACACCATTTTATTGAAAATAATCATAAACAATAGATAATCTATTGATTGATTCATATTTATCTAAATGAATAGTCATAAACTCTTGGAATTAATATGATATTTACGAAAATTTGTCTGATTATTAATTCATTACATTTTATTGTTAATTGCTTGCAAAATTGTAACTTACAATTTAATTGAACTAGGTTTTTTTTACATTTTATGTTTCATTGGTTAAATGTAATGTTATTATGATTGGTTTGTAGGTGAGGAAGAGACGAAAAGTGCGTTCGAGAAGCACTTCAAGAATGAGATAGCCAGATACGGTCCTGTGTGCGTGATTAACCTTGTGGACCAAAGTGGCAAGGAGAAGGTGATCTGGGACTCGTACTCTCATCATATTTTCGAGTTTAACAGTCCTCACGTGACCTACGTGACGTTTGACTTCCACGAGTACTGCCGCGGTATGCACTTCGAGAACGTGTCCATCCTGATCAACAGTATTGCCGACATCATCAAGGACATGAACTACTGTTGGCGTGATCGCCAGGGCCACATCTGTTCTCAGCTGGGAGTTTTCCGCGTGAATTGCATTGACTGCTTGGATCGTACCAATGTCGTGCAGACGGCGCTTGCCAAGTCCGTAATGGAGATCCAATTCTGCAAGCTCGGACTGATCACTCCGGAAGGCACCATTCCTGACTCGATCAAAAACACGTTTCAGCTACTCTGGGCCAACAATGGAGACACTATCAGCAAACAATACGCAGGCACCAATGCTTTGAAAGTGCGCATTTTCAGTTAGATTAGTTAATTGATGAATAATTTTGCAATGGTTATTTGCAGGGCGATTACACACGAACGGGCGAGAGGAAGTTCACGGGAATCATGAAGGACGGAATGAACTCAGCAAATAGGTGAAGATAGTTTCATAGCGATGGATGAGCGATGCGGAAAACTGTGCCTAGATTTTTTGAATACACTTTTGTGCTCCTTTTTCACGATTTGAGTTGCGCATCGCTGATCGTCTCTATGCGTAGGTAGTTTCGCCTCGGTATTCAGTTTAGTTTGTGTCCCCGATTTTCGTAGATTTTACCGGAATCATTTCGCGGACAGTGTGCGGCAATGCTGCTTAGATCTGTCTCATGGCTCGCCGGTAAGAGTGAATGATTTTGAGGACAGCTGGTCGAGGTTGAACACGTTCGGCGGCATCGCCAGCGAGCTCGTCCCTCTGGGAGGCGGCGCGCCCCATTACATACCCCACATTGCCCTAGAGCAGGAGTTCGAACTAGCGAACGCCCTGTATTACATGTATAGGTCAGTCAAGCCCAAGAAACGTCCCAAACCCATGCAAATCCACAGATTTTAATCTATCTCTCGCCGTACCTTTTGTTCGTATATTTTTTTGGTAATTTCGCCGTGTATTTATTTATCTAGATGCGAATTAATAATTGCCATTAATAAAGTAAAGTCGATTTGTCACCTTTTGGGCTGTTTCCACACGCATACGTTTCTTTTCAGGTATTATTTGAGCCGATTCAAAGATTCTACCAGACAAGGCACTATCGATTTGATGCTTGGCAACGGTGAGTTTGTTTACATAAAACAAAAATACAGTCATACAAGATAGTGGATTGGATTAATGATTTCTGTTGATGTTTAGGACATTGTGTATCTGAAGATTTGTTCAACGAGACGCGATCGAATACAAACTTTGAAGAGGATAGCGCTTCTACAGCGGAGCACGTTAAGCTCCTAATTGAGGATTGCAAGAAGATGCTGATAAACAATCCGGAGATTGTGCTGGGAGCTTGGGGACTGATCAACGCCGATCCTTTCACCGGAGACCCAAGCGAAACTGAGATGGACTCGATTCTGATCCTCACCAAGGATTCGTATTTCGTCGCCGATTACGACGATCAAGTGGATAAGGTCACCAAATACCAAAGGGTCTGTTTGGACGACATCACCGTGATAGAGAGCGGAATCCCAGAGTCCAGCGCGAATATATTCAAGAGTAACAGTAAGAATTTCTACAGCATCCGCCTCAATTACAAGGTAAATGGAGTGACCGGATACTACCACATGTTCCGCTCTACAAATCTGCAATTCTTCAACAACATGGCCGTATTTCTGAAAAACGAAGAAGAGGAAATTGGTAGGATGACCATTGCGATCTGTACCATTGCTTTTATTGATTCCATTTCTTATTATTTTTAGAATCGTTGAAGGCGATATGCGAGGCTTTTTCCGTCGCTTTAGATATTGGTGGCTTACCGCCAATTCCCTACAAGCAGGGGCAAAAATTGGATCGAAGAAAGTCTAAGGTGATCAGCGATAACAGCGCCAGTAACGTTTACCTGGACATAGTGGGACTGCCACATTTGACGAGGAATGTCTCTGAAACGCAACTTTTAGCGCTCAAGAACGCAGGTAAACTTCTATAAATTTAAATCCTTTTGAAACCCACTCCTAAATCCTTGAATTCCTTAGGAAAATATAAGAAATATAAAACGAGATGGCGGCGAGTGTAGTGATACCTGGTATAAATAACTGTTTTCTTCTTTACTTGAGGTTCTTTTTTTTTCAATTTATTTTTTATTGTGAAGGTACCAAGGCACTTTCGAACATGTCGCAGCAGTTCTCGCGCTTGAACCGCTTGGGATCGAGTCTGAAGCCGAAACGACGTAGTCCCAAGTTCACCATAGGTAAGAAGGTGGAGAGTTCCAGCGAATCGGATGAAGAATACGAGACGTCTATATTCCAACCCGATAACTGCGCGGAGAGCGGAACTTCGCTGCAGCTGCACTCGGATTCGGATAATAACATAGAGCAAGCGGTGGAGGTTACCGAGGATTCTTCCAAGGACAGCTTTCTACCAAGCGTAGGCATAGTAATGGGTGGATCTACTAACGAGAACGGGACATCGACTATGACTACTCTACTTACTGAAAGCGCTTCAGTGGTAAACGATGAGCAGCTTTTGAGCATCATGAACAATGTGACCATGCAGAATCCCGAGATACAGATCAATTCTGGGAGCTTCGAGTGCAGCGACACTAGGATGCAACCACCAACTAGTTTGAAACTGGACAAGAAGTACAGCCATTCATCAGGTGAGGTGCGCAACGAGGAGGTTACGACAGTTAGCGCGAATACGACCGAGTTCGAGACTAACATTTCGCAATCGCAGAGCGAATCTGCTCTCAAGAATAAGCTTGTGAGTCTGACGAGTCCAGTGGCCAATGCCACTAAAGAGTTGGTGCTATCACCGTTCAGCAAGATTGCAAAAGGTGTGCAGAATTTAGGCGCCAATTTGGATCCGCGCAAGATGAGCTCGGGTACTGTTAGAGGTATCACCGAGAAGGAGTACGAAGAACACAAGAAGCTACAAGAGAAGTGGCTAGGCTGCAAAACTCGCCTGATCGCTCTGTAAGGACGAAACTGCAACCCAGACTAGTTCAATTTGTATTCAATTATATTTCTTTATTAATCCCCGCCTTCAAGTTACTACAACTACATACCTACATAAATACACCAATTAAATTATATTGAATCAGTATTAGGAACGTACACAACTTAAGAAACAACAACAAATTTAAACCAATTTATATATTTAATAATTATATATACACCCTATATGATATACAAACTTATATATGATACAGATATTATATTGCATAGCATAACTGTGAATGTTTTAGAAAAGCATCCCATGATTGAACGAAAGCAGGTTTTTCATTACATTCGAACCGAATTTTATCGAATTCGCAATGGAATATTTTATTGTGATCGCAACACCAAATTATCATTGTTAGTTAATTAATTTTAAATCATTTTTTAAGGTCATTATAAATGATCATCATAGTTATCAATTAATTCAGAATGTTTATGTCAGTTATTTTTGTTAAGAACAAAAAAATCTTTATTTTAATATGTTGGTAATCTAATTTTATTTTACATAGTTTTTTATTATTGCTCGTAACTAACGAATTGTATGTTGGTTACTAATATTTTTTTTGTACTGTTTCATTTGCTTACAATTTCGGTGCATAATAATATTATGGTAAGAATATAAAAAAAAATGATTATTTAATTTAAACGAAAAAAAAGTTAATGTTGTATTAGTTATGTTAGTATTGTTAGAAATAAGTTATCAATAGTTGTCAAACTTTTGAATATTATTTTGTTTATTGATATTTATATGCATTTGTTAATATTAAGTTATTATAACATATTTGACACCAATTGAGCGCATTTACACTGGAAGTAAATTAAGTTATGAAATTTACAAAATTAACGTCAAATTTGTTTCAGTGTGATAGCGAAAAAAAATGTTTAAAACCATTTCATAGGGTTGTTTAAGTTTGATGATATTTATTTATTATGTCGATGGGTAGCCTAAACTTATATAACAAAAAAAAATAATGAGGAAGAAACCAATTAGGATTGTTCGTATGTTGAAGGGTGCTCGGTGTAAAAGGGAAACTTTTAGCATATGTGATTGAATCATTTTAGAGTGCATTTTCGCTTACCTTAAAACCTTTTACCAGCCGGTTCAATTATTAAATATTGATAGAAGCAACTTTTGCACCGGAACTCTTCAACTATTTACCAGTATGTAACGAGAGTGTTTCGCGATGTAATGTATTAAGCTTATGAGCGCAGATGTAAGATTGAGAGGACAGACAGAGAGGAGGAAAAACAAAAGGAACGCGACAAAGTCAATTAACATTCCTAGAAACGTTGTTATTAGTGATGACCGCGAGATGAAGGATGCTTGAATCGTAGAATAATTAAAGCCAGAACCCTGTGGCTCTCCATGTATAGCGGGCTTTAAATACGTTATGGTTTGAGCGCTTTATTACGTAAATAATTATTGTGATCGAATTTCTGTGGTTTACAAAGGAAACAATTTTATTTCTGTTTTTAGATTCTAGTTAATTCGTTTAATAATGTCGGTAGACTTTATTTGTTTATCAGTTACTTTGTGATGCATACGATTGTTGCTGTTTATATATACATATTATATATACAAATTATTATGCGTTGTATATAGATTATTATATTATTCGAGATAATAATAGAACACCATTAAAGTGAATTAACGAATAACAATAATTACAACGAAATATACTTGATTAATTAGAATGTTATATGCGTTCCCAGTTGGCCCCCAGTCGGATTAGATTTAGATCTAAGACGAATTTTCCTGTTTTAGCCTGTTCCTCTTTTCTTCCTCAATTACGTGTGTTATCGAAAAAAGGAAATAATGCAGATCATGTGAAATCGCTTTTGGCACGGAGAAACGATGTGGAAAACTAGCTTCTCCTGCGGCCCTTAGCCCTTAATCGTTCGCGCCTGGCCGCCCATGTTCCCCTTCACAATCCGAGCGTATCAAATTGCGTCCAATTTGCAAAGATACATTAAACATGGATCGCGAAGGTAACGCGAGGAAGGAAACCTTCCTCCTTCGGCTACATCCATCGACCCCCGGGGGCGTCTTTCGTTGCAGACCGCCCCCATTCCACTCCGTTGTTACTTCGGGTAACTTTTAACAGCGTAATTAAGCATTAAACATTATGCAGGCTATAAAGCCGCGTCTCGCATACACATTCATTAAAATTTATGAACTACGCCATTATTACAACCGAAAAAAATAATGTAAGGGTGCGGAGAAATTGCCGTGGCTTAAGCGAAAAATTTTCTTTGAGCAAGAAAATAAGGAGAATTTGCATGAAACGTCGATTTGCGGGGAGAAAAAAAAATCGTCTCCCTTCTCTTAATTCGATTATCCCCGCGGAGTTAGGATAATGATTAAACTTTAATTCCGCCCGTTCGGGAGTTGCTAAATACCTGCTCCGTCCCTATGGATGAGACGAGACGAGACGAAAGTTAACATTTCTGTATTGGAAGTTCTCAAACAGGCTGATTATTTAATCAGTTTGTTCATCCGGTGAACGAATGTGATTCCTTGGAACTGTGTTCGTTTTTTATTACGCGAAGCACTTTCATCATCTGAATTGCGTTTATATTAAATTTCGCATTAATAATTTTAAATTAACGGTGTCGCCTCTATTCGCAAACAAGGATTCTTTCAAAAGAAACTCCTAACGAGATATTTGTCTTCAGCTAGAGTAAACGTACGTAGCCCGGATTTAATCCCTCCCTCTGGGGAAGCCCCGGGATTCGTTTCGTTATTTTTGTTTCCTTTTTCGTACGTTTCCTTTTTTGTCACTCTCTTCTTTCCCAATTCCAAAAAACCCATACCGCACCAAAGCAAAGAAGGAACAGGCGACTGAGTATACTCCGCGTCTTCCTTTATCGGAGCTCCTACATCATCCCTTTTATCTCTCTTTCTCTCTATTTTCCTCCATCCTCGACCCCCATAATAATATTCAATGATGTAGCAAAATTGGGAACAGATTGTAATCATATTTTTCCTTTCTTTATTAACTGGGTCGATTATTTGCGCGATCAATCTTCATAAAATAAAAAAGAGAGGGTATCTTAATTGCTCACGGAAGATTGGAACGCAACTTCAGGTGAACGCTTTTAAACTTTGTGTTTACTAAATTGATCGTTAAAGTCATATCTCGGATGCTAAAGTGGTTCACAACATTATTCACCCTACTTCTATTCCAGATTATACGGATACCTGTCCATCGGAGCAAGCGGTGGGTGCATTTGGGATGAAGCGGAAGAGGTAAGTAATGTTTAATAAATTTGATTTATGGAGGTCGAATTCCTTTTGTGTAAATCATCGGAGACCGTAAATCTGCCAGAGAGAAATTCAATTAAGAGAGTGTGCGCCGCTGCTGTTGATGATGCTGCTGCTTCTGGTTTGGGTTGGTTCTTCTTCAGGCATCGCGAGGAGCCAAACACCGATTACACAACTAATTATCCCGAGGCACGCGAAAACTTTTCGCAATTGAAACGGGTCGTGCAGGGTGCAGATGGGGGTGAGTGGGTGAATGAATACGGTGAAGTTGGATGAAAAGAGTTTGTTCAGCTAATTGCGCCGTGCCCTTAAATATTTAATAAACTCTTCCGCGTTTTTCTCCCTTCTTCGTTGTTTCCGTACCTTCGCATTCCATTATTTATTTACATCTTTATTGGTATCTTGTTTGATTACAATTATGGAAGTTACCTTAACTTTATAGAAGGATTCTAATTATAGTGTTTTTAATATTACATTTTGATTTACAAAACGCAATTTATCTTACTTTACAGTATTAATCGGATTTCCAAAGCGATTTATATTTAATGCAAAATATTACGTAAATATGAAAATTAAAAAATTGTACCAGATTTCATGAGAGATTTGTTTTGATGAGAATATATTCTATAATGACTATTGACTGTTTGTAGGATTTTATCATAAATAATGAAATAATTATTGTTTTCTCTTCATTACATGATTTTATCATGTCTGATTTAAGACATACATTAAGTAACTATTTGAAACCGCACTAATGGAGGAACATATTTCATTTGTTGTAAACACGTATGTGGATGCAATATTACATCAATAACAACTAACATACATTAACAACTCGATTAATGCTGATTTGATATAAATACTGCGAAGACTTGAAAATATAGTTTTTTTTTTGTGCAGGAGAGAAAACTTTGCATAAGGACCAGGGCCGGATCCAATAAGTGCCCTTCAAACTTTAAATAACAAAATTAATTAACAGTTAGAATTTATATCTTTGAATATAGATTGTAAATATTTATTTAAAACAAAATACAAAATCCAATTAACAAGAGTCTTACGGTTCATGACAAATTTCTACATTAAAAAACCTGTACCAAATATAAAAACATTGAATATAATTTTATTGAATATAAACCTATAAAGAGATTTGTTACATGTTCCGAAGTTTTTGTTCTGAAAAATCTTCTAAAATAGCATCAAAATCCAAGTCGCTTGCTTCTTGACTCTCAATCGACATGATCTAGAAAATGCAAAGCAACATTTACTGAGATTGTTTAATATATCTGAAGGGCAATAAATAAATCTAGATATTCCGCATTTCTGTCCTTTTCAGATAAACATTGAAACATTTTAAATGCAAGTACTATTTTTAAATATATACATTTATATGTGCTGTGGTGCCATGATAAGGACCACAAGTAGTGTGGATATACTATTGGATTCACACCCACTAAAACTTCTCCATTTAATTAATCATCCAGAACCAATATTTTTATTGTATTTCACCGTAATGTTGATTGTATTTATGAACCTCTAGAACATCAATCCCTTCATTGATATAGGGTGCAGCAGAAATAACTCCCACGAGTTGGAGACAGCTCAATTGCTGCAGTATATGTTTTCTCACATTTTTGGGACGTCCGGGTGGTTTTATCTTCAGTGCTGATCCTGTTGCCTTTACTCTTTGAATCCACAGCGAAATCGTTTTCCGCTAGAACAGATCGCCGCTCTGTACCAGCTTTGTGCTCCCCATAGATATTTTTCGTAATGTGGGTGTTATTTCTGCCGCACCCTATATTAGTCCGTCTTTCTCATTGATCTTATTCTGGATCCACTCGTCTTTTCCTCTTAAAGAGGTTTTGTAATGGCCTAAACGAAGATTCATTCTCGAAAGGATTCCGTGGTTTCTTGATCAAAATGAGCTTTGCGCTTTTCTAACTCTCTGGAAATGTTCCTTCATATGTTCACTTCATCGCAGATTCAGGTTGTTCTCTGACTCTGATCTTGTTGATTTCTGCTGGCATTCCGTCAGGACCTGTGTTTTTTCGTCTTTAGTCATCCGCAAGTGTTGGGCAGTTATTCTTTTATGAACTGTATAAAATTGATTTTGTCATCTGTTAGGATATTTGTATGCCTAGAGAACAAGGTCTACGTTATCACCCAGGCTCTCTCTGGTGTCATTCTTGCTATCGGGTCTGTTAGA